TCCGGAGACAGCATGGAGACAAGTTCTCACAACAACTCACTGGAAGCCACCGCTTCTCCTTGCTTCTCTGGTGGTGGCAGGGGCAGGCAGAATGCCCATAGGGGCATCAGCCCTTAGTATTCTGCTGCCCAAGGCAGCTTTCTCAGTCTGCCTCCTGGGTGGGCCAGCTCTGTGTAGTGTTGTCCCTAAAGGTAAAGGAACCCCTGACCAATAGGTCCAGTCATGACTGACTCTGGGGTTGCGGCGCTCATCTTGCTTTACTGGCCGAGGGAGCCGGCGTACAGCTTCTGGGTCATGTGGCCAGCATGACTAAGCCGCTTCTGGCAAACCAGAGCAGCGCACGGAAATGCCGTTTACCTCCCCGCTGGAGCGGTACCTATTTATCTACTTGCACTTTGATGTGCTTTCGAACTGCTAGGTTGGCAGGAGCAGGGACCGAGCAATGGGAGCTCACCCCATCGTGTGGATTTGAACCGCCGACCTTCTGATCGGCAAGCCCAAGGTTCAGTGGTTTAGACCACAGTGCCACCCGCATCCCTAGCGTTGTCCCTAGGGGGAGGATTATTAGGGAAAAGACTGTGATGCCTAGGACTTGAGTGGGAAGTGAGCTTGCACTTGCAAGCCATGGCCTTCCAGTGTCAGTGCTCCCAGCTCCCCCCGCCCCGGCCTCCAGTGGCTACACTTTCAGCATCAGTGTGAAAGGAGAACTGTGTGTGTATGTACAGATAAGGCTTGCAGGTCCTCCCCTCCCCAGATACAGACCGATGAGCTAGACCACTAGTCCAATCAGTGAAACACTGAGCTTTTGCTTGGCAACCATAGTTGGAAACTAAGTGGCTCTTATCTTCTGCGGTGACACAATTACAGCCGTCTTAGCTACAAACCTATTTAATTGATCGCCAGAATGATCATTGGGAATTTTATAGCGTGTTCTCTTTTACAGTTGTTTCTTTCCATTGGTGAGATAAGGGCTATTATGTACGATTTGTCAGAATAAGCCTTTTAATATCTGTATATGATGCTTCTTTTTTAAAATGTCCCATGGCAAAGACGCTGGCGGCACAATCCCAAACCTATCTGCTCAGTCCCAGAGTGTTCCAAGGTCTCAGGTAGAGAGATAAATAAAGTGCTATAGCATTGCTTCAACTTAGGGGTGGGGATCTGAATCTGCTTGGTGGGCTGAATCCTTTTCTCTGCCCCTTGAACCAGGGGGTAGAGTTTGACAGGTGGACAGGGGCTTCCACATGCCCATCACATGAAGTCACCTGACGTCACATTGACACCATTTTTGCATAGCACTCTGCATGGGGCTTTGCAAGTCTGGAGGATCAATGAAGGAGTTTTTCAATAATAATAATAATAATAATAATAATAATAATAGAAGATTTGTTACAAAAAGAAAAGTGCAAACATAACACAAATAAATTTTAAAAGAATAAAAAAATGTAAACATCACCGCCTGGAGGAACAAGGGTGCAAAGATATAGTGCAGCTCCAAAGGACAATAAAGGTTTCCTTTACAAATTATATGTGTGTGCATGAATGTGTATTCTCCACCTGTGAGTTCCATCATTACTGAGAATAAAGGTTCAATATAGTCACTGAGTGATCAGGTGCCTCACATGATTTTATAAGAAATAAAATCACATTTTATAAGAAATAAAATCATATCACAAAAGAATCCTGGAAATTATTTCTTAAAGGTGCTGGGAATTGTAGATCTGTGATGAGTAAACTACAGTTTCCAGGATTCATGGGGTGTGTGTGTGTGTGTGTGTGATGTGATTTAAATGTACATTGTGCATGCAGTCAGCATTATTATTCTTTCTTAAACCATGCTTCATCCAAGGATCACAGGGCGGTTTACAATAAAACACAAAAATACATCATAGTAACAAACAGAAACAATACCCCCAGCCACCCACAAACAGTTTATAAGGCCACACAGAGGTTGTTTAATTAGCCAAAGGCCTGGGAGAAGAGGGATGGTTTTGCCTCATACCTAAAGATGTGCGCCAGGTGAGCCTCTCCGCTCCTCCACTTGCATGGGCCTTGTTTCCATGATTCTTTGAGGGAAGGCATGTGCTTGAAATGTGTGTTAAATGTTTTTGAAATGTATGGTGTAAAGCTGGGATGGGGCAATTTTGGAGCAATTTTGGCCTCAAGCCCCCCACCTCTGCTTTAAAGCGCCACAAATCCTGTATTTCCTTTGTCGTTCTTTTGACCAAGCTCTTAACACACGCTATTTTAAAGGGCTCTTGTCAGTTTCACATCCGCCAGTTTCCTTTGTCCATGTTCTTTTCTCTTTTAACTATTCAGAAAGAGTGAAATGCTTCTCTAAACAAACACACACACATTGTGGGTTTTAAGATGCTCTCTTACTGTTTAAGATGCCAGCTCTACTCTGAAGCTTTTTCCAGGCATAATGTCTGTTTATAAAAAGTTCTGGTGTGCTTGGCAAAGCAAAACATGGTGAGATTTTGTGCGTATTTTTTTTAAAAAAAGACCTTACAGCAGAGAGATGGAACAGGTAATACAGCAAAACAGCAACATTAAAGAGTCTTCCTGAATTAGATTTTAGAAAAGAATTGGGATACTGGTTATTTCATTGAGATTTATGTTTTTAAATAGCACATTCAGAAGTTCGGAGCAAGTAACAGAACACATAAAACAGCAAAATCCAACAGGAAGATTTTTCCTCAAATCCCCACATTTACAGCAACCTAATATCAACAGCCCAACACTTTAGCTGTTCCCACATGTTAATTTTAAAATCTAAAACCCAAAGGCAGACAACAGGCAGTTGTTTGTTTGTATTGTTATAGGAATTCCAAGGTCTTATATATATTTCATAAACGTTCATAAATGTACAAGGCAAACACATACCTACACATATAAAACCATAAAAAAAGCTTTGGTCGGCCCTCACAGCCCTTCACTTCATCAAATCTGGCCCTCTTTGAAAAAAGTTTGTTTTTTTAAAAAATAATATTTATTAAAGTTTCACAGGAAAAACAAATTAAAAAAACCACATTAGTAAAGAAAAAGTTAACAATAAAAAGAAAGAATACAAAGTAAAAAGAAAAAACAATTTAAAACAATTTCATCTTTTCCTCACTTCTTTTACGTTTACTTGTTTCCCGGACCTCCTCTTACCTCCCTCTTCTGTATTCTAATTAAATATATTCATCCAACAATTCCTTTCCCTCCTTTTTAATCCTAATCTTTAATCTTAATATGATATAACTTTAAATTTTACATTTTACATATTAAAAACCAATTTTTCCATATTCTTTTGTACCTATACAGCTAGAAACCACTTAACTTCAATCCAACATCATTCTAACATTCATTAATTTTGCAATATTTCTGTAAATAGTCTTTAAATTTCTTCCAATCTTCTTCCACCGACTCTTCTCCCTGGTCACGGGAGAGAAAAAAGTTTGGACACCACTGCTTGTCTCTATGCTCACAGATCCTGTGACCTGGATCCAGGAACTAAGTATTTACCATCACAAAAAAAATGGCCAGGCTGTCCAGGTAGAGCAAAGATTGACCATTATCAGGTATCTTGACAGACAAGTTTTCTGCTGTAGACGGCCCCCCTATGATGTATTTCTACTGGGGACCACCTCTTTCTGTGATGTATGTATGATGTTTTGGGGGGTGGTCTTGAGCTACAGAGTAGGCAATTTCTAAAGTCTGTATAAGGGACTGCACACCATTGTTTGGGGTTCCTCCTCCCTCCTGCATGTGGTGAGTGAGACCCTGTTGCAACAGTTTAATAAAGATCATGCTTACTAGCTGCTTTGCTTCTCAATACAGTCATACCTTGGGTTACAGACGCTTTGGGTTGCGCGATTTAGGGTTGTGCACCGCGTCGAACCTGGAAGTACCGGGACGGGTTAATTCCAGGTTACGGCACTTGCACATGCGCAGAAGGCTAAATCACGCTTTGCACACGCACAGAAGTGCCGAATCGTGACCTGTACGTGCACAGACGCGGCACTGTGGGTTGCGAACGCTGCAGGTTGCAAACGTGCTTCCCGCACAGATCACGTTCACAACCCGAGCGTCCAATGTATTCTCTGGTTGGCCTCCTGTTATTTTCTCCTACCAATAGAGAACCTACATTAAGAACTGTATACGGGCTCTTCTTAGATACCCCAAAGGATATAGGAGCAGTTTTCTCTTATACAGTGGTACCTCTGGTACTTAATTCGTTCCAGAAGTCCGTTCTTAACCTGAAACTATTCTTAACCTGAAGCACCACTTTAGCTAATGGGACCTCCTGCTGCTGCCGTGCCACAGCAGTGCGATTTCTCTTCTCATCCTGAAGCAAAATTCTTAACCCGAGGTAATATTTCTGGGTTAGCAGAGTCTGTAACCTGAAGCGTATGTAACCCGAGGTACCACTGTAACAGTATTATGTAAGCCACCACCTTGCCAATCCTTTTTGTACCTTGCACCTTGAACAATGCTGCACCCACTTTACTTGGAAGCAAGCCCCCACTGAGCGCGGTGGGATTTACTTCTGAGTAAATGCACACACACACACACACACACAGGATCAGGACCTCCGCAAATAACGCCCTCCCCTTTCACCCCACTTCCTCAAGGCAGCCACCACTTTGAAAAGATCTTTTATAGTACTGTCTTCTGCAGAGAGCGGGGATCTTTCCCTGCTGCAAACTGCGAAACCTGTTTTCTGCTGCGATCGAAGGTCAACGGTGGTGCAAGCCATTGCTCTCTGAGCATGGGCAGAGTGCCCTTTCCATGCCGATTGAGCGACCACAGGCACAGCTCATTCACAGCTGGGATCTGGCACTTCCAGATCCTAGGCATGGTGTAAGCCTGAGGAGCTGCTTTTGTGACATATGATTAAGCTTTTCTCGCAACCTTTGCACGTCGGAACGTTCTCCGCCCTGCGGGGGGCGGGGACCACGGCTCCATCACTCACTTCGGGCCACGGCCACGCCCCTAATACCACGCCCCTTCTCCATAGACCACGCCTCTCCTGCTCCCGAGTTTGCTTTTCCTTCCCGTTCCCAGCAGTGGGAGGAGTACCGGGCAGTCCTGTTTGGTGGTCTGTTTTTGCTCTAGGGTGGTTGAGCAGGCACGCCATGGCCGGCAAAGAGCAGGGTGAACTCCTAAAAGCCCGGAACCGTACTCTGAGCGCTTTCCGCGAAGGTATATTTACTTAATTTTAGGCTCTCCCTGTCTCCCAAGTCTGGGTTTTTTCGGTACGGAAAGTGAGAGCGGAACTCTTTCGCCGGGCGAGTCGGTTGCGCCCGGATACTTATCAGCGACGTACGGCTGGGCTATGGGGGACTGGAATAGGAGGCGCGCCGAAGCGGTGGAGGAAAACGGGGGCTAGCAAAGGAAGGGCACGACGCGATGCTTATTATTTTCGTCTAGCTTTACTACGAGGGCTCTCCTTAGGCGGGGCGGGGGCATTTAAGGGAAAGGGGAGAGGCTAAAGAAGTGGGGCAGCGTTGTGTAGTGGCTAGACCCACCAGGGTGGGGAGCCTAGTGCCCTCCAAATGTTGAATTGCTGGTTTAATTGTCTCTAGCTTTTGGGAAATGGCGGGGGTGTCCTAAAGCATGTGGAAGGCCACAAGTGGGCTAGAGCAGGCAAAGGCAAACTCAGCCCTCCAGATGTTTTGGGACTGCAACTCCCATCACCCCTAGCTAACAGGACCAGCTAACATGGATGATGGGAGTTGTAGTCCCAAAACATCTGGAGGGCCGAGTTTGCCTATGCCTGGGCTAGAGTGTTAATCTAACGGGAATCCCCACCTCCTCAGGCCTCACTGTGTGATCTTGAGCTAGTTTCTCTCTGTGTTACCTACACACAAGTCTTACTTTAAATGAAGTTTGCTGGGGTGTTGCAAGGATAAAACGTACTAAGGCAAACTTGCCCAGTGTTCGTTTTTTGAGCTTGGAGGAAAGGTAGGAGATAAATTGAGGTGCTGGGGAAGTTTCTCAGGTCACATGGATTTTGAAGTGAAGGTTTTGGAATTGTATGGCCGTCTTGTCAGGGTAGGAGCTTTCATAGTCAAAATATGTGAGTCAGGTAGGGAGAAGGACAACAGCTCAGTGAGAGAGCTTATTCTTGGCATGCAGAAGATCCCAGTCTCATCACCATTTAAAAAGATTTCAGGCAGCAAGTGCTGGATGGGACCCTCAGCCTGAGCTTCTGGGGAGCTGCTGCTAGTTGAGAGCTATCTGGGCAGGTTTAAGGAAACATGTTATTTCCTTTCCTATGGGTTTAATAAGACTGTCCACTTGATTGATTGATTGATTGATTGATTGCATTTGTATCCCACCTTTTCTCCAATGAGCTCCAAGTGGTGTACATGGTTCTAGCCATCCTCATTTAATCTCCACAACAACCCTGTGTTGTAACAAATGCAAGACCAGACTATTGCCATCTTGTTGCAGGCTGACACCATAATCCCATACCCTTCAGCATTGCTCTGATGAAAATAGGGATGTCCTATTCAATAATAATAATATTGTGCGCCTTCCAACATATAGAAAAACATAATCAAACATTAAGCATTAAAATACTTCCCTATACATGGCTGCCTTCAGATGTCTTCTAAAGGTTGTGTAGTTACTTATTTCCTTGGCTCAGGGGTTGCATGACTCCATACCTTCCAACAGTGCTTTTTTTCTGGGGGGATGCAGGGGTACACATACCCCTAAACATTTTGTGAATCTTTGTACTTTTGTCCATTTACTTTATTTATTTTTCCCAATTTGAGCTATAAAATGGTGATTTTCTTGAGTCAAAATGAGAGTACCCCTAAACATTTTTTTTAGAAAAAAAGCACTGCCCTCCAACATTTCTCCAGTACAAATTGGACGTCCTACCATACCCTCCAGCGTTTCTTCGATGAAAGTAGGTACGTCCTAAGGAAAAGGGGGGCATTCTAGGATCAAATCAGAAACCAGGATAACTTCTGTAAATCTGGGATTGTCCCTGGAAAATAGGGACACGGAGTGTCTGTAATCCTGTATTCCCATTGAAATGATGCTGAAATGCAAGCTTAAGAGAGGAAGAACAAACCGCAAGAGGGTGTGTAAAGGGAAGTTTTGGAAGCATGCTAGGCCATGACCTTTAAACAGAGTAAACAGGAAAATGCTTATTAGTTGAGGTGTGGATACATCTGTCTGCAGTAAAGCTGAAGTTAGGTTGGTGTCTTGCATGACTAACCTATATCACTATAAAAACTGAGTAAACAGAGATCAGGGTTTAGCCTCTGATCACTACACTTTCCTGCTTGAGCAAGAAATAAAACTTTGCTTTTAGAGAATTTCCGGGTGTCACATGTCATTGCTAGTGAGTAAAGGACTCAGTTGTGCAATGGACCTTAGGTGGGGTTTTCCCACATCAATTTTAAGATGGGGAAGGCTGAGAGGCAGTGATTGGCCCAAGTTCACCCAGTGAGCTTGGATTTGATCCCTGGTCTCCCAGGGCTTCATCTAATACAGTACTCTAACCCAGCCTTTCTCTACCTTGGGTCTCTAGATCTTGTTGGACTACAACTCCCATCATTTCTTGCCAGTCGTCAGGGATTATGGGGGTTGTAGTTTGAGAACATCTGGGGATTCAAGGTTTAAAAAGGCTTCTCTAACCACCATACGGAACCACACCTCTCTCTTCCTCAGAAGGTACACAGGTGACAAGTGTATTATGTGTTGTAGCTAATACTGGACTTTCCTTGGGAAATCACTTGTAGCTGGACTTGCCTGCAAAGGGAATGGATTTTTGAAGTGTTCCTAGTGTATACTAAATTTTGCTGGACTAGAAAAAGCTTAGAATAACAAAGAGTGGATAGTGTAGTTGCTTCATAAAAGTTGTCAGGTGGCAGGGCTGGCCATAAGGCAGGGTTCCCTCAATAGTTTTGTAAAAGAAAGACTTTAAAAGGTGCGTATTTTAACCATCTCTGCGACACCATTTACTTATTTTTGTTGGGTTTTTAAACCACTCCTGAAGGCTTAAGGTGAAAAATGGCACTTGAAATGATGACAGGAAGAACAGTTCTATATAAAATAGACTCAAAAATTGCTTGGAAACTCTTTTCACCCACTGCAATTCAATGTTTATTCTTTCTCTTTAAAAAAATGGCTTATGTTGCTTCTGAAAGAGACTTTTGCCCTGATCTCTGAAGGAAGGGAGTTCTAAGGCCAAAAAGAGTCTCACTGTGCCTCTTTTGCAAGGGCGCACAAACAATTGGCTGATTTTGGAAACAAAACAAAAATGTTGGGGCACCAGAACCATTCCTCTCCCCTTTCAGATCAACCAGTGCAGAGCCACACCATACATTATAATCAGTGCAAATCGCATGACACCCCCAAATAATCCTGGGAACTCCAGTTTCCTGTCATAGAGACCTGAAAGCCTGGCACCTCATCCTTGGAGGCAACTGCAGCTGAAGATCATTATTTTCTAGCCACTGATGAATTTAGAACATAAGAAGAACCTCCGGAATCGACAGTGGCCCATCTAGGCTAATATCCTGCTCTTGCTGTGGCCAACCAGATGCCTATGGGAAGCCTGCGTGCAGGACCTGAGTTCAACAACCCTATCCTTGCCTTTGGTTTTTAGAAGCTGGTACAGTGGTACCTCAACAGGGACGCGGGTGGCGCTGTGGGTAAAACCTCAGTGCCTAGGACTTGCTGATCGTAAGGTCGGCTGTTCGAATCCCCGCGGCGGGATGAGCTCCCGTCGTTCGGTCCCAGCTCCTGCCCACCTAGCAGTTTGAAAGCACCCCTAAGTGCAAGTAGATAAATAGGTACCGCTTTATAGCGGGAAGGTAAACGGCGTTTCCGTGTGCGGCACTGGTGATGGCTCGCCAGTTGCAGCTTCGTCACGCTGGCAATGTGACCCGGAGGTGTCTTCAGACGGCACCGGCTCCCGGCCTCTTGAGCGAGATGAGCGCGCAACCCTAGAGTCAGACACGACTGGCCCGTACGGGCAGGGGTACCTTTACCTTTACAGTGGTACCTCGGGTTAAGTACTTAATTCGTTCCAGATGTCTGTACTTAACCTGAAACTGTTCTTAACCTGAAGCACCACTTTAGCTAATGGGGCCTCCTGCTGCTGCTTCTGCTGCTGCTGCCGTGGCCGCGCCGCCGGAGCACAATTTCTGTTCTCATCCTGAAGCAAAGTTCTTAACCTGAAGCACTATTTCTGGGTTAGCGGAGCCTGTAACGTGAAGCATATTGTAACCTGAAGCGTATGTAACCCGAGGTACCACTGTATTTAGAAGCCTACTGCTCCAACAGTGGAGGAGAATATAGGCATTGGGGTTGATAGCTTTATGTTTGAGGAATTTGTCTAATTTGTATATCACATATTGTGAAAGCAAATTCCATAGTTCAGCTTTATTCTGTTATGAATCTCCTGCTGTTCGGCTTCATTGGATGAATCTGGAGTCTAATATTACGAGGGGGGGGGTGTCTCTGTTCCCCTTGTCCATACCACATATAATTTGCATGGTTCCCCCATCTTACTTGTTTTCCTTTTGTATGTGAAAAAGCACCAAGAAATTGCCAGTGGGGTTCAGGGAAGGAGAAAGTTAAATGCAGCCCAAACTTTTTAAGGCAGAAGTAGCCATTCTGGGATTGCGACTACTTTTACCTGTCGTTTCTTGTACTGTATTGTTATTTTTTCCGGGGTTCGGCTAACCATGGCCTTGATTAACCCTTTGTGAATGTCTTGATTCTGTTTCCGTGGGAAATGTATTTAATCTCTGGAAAACAAAAGCCAAATCTCCTGATCCAGAATGGTGTATGAGTTACTGCCACGTTCCCATTCTGGCAGAGAGCTGCCTGCAGATGGTTTTGTCAGTTTGGAACAGAGCACCTTCCATTCGGCAGAAGACCTGATGACAGATGGAGTCACCTAGTTACACAAAAGTCTACAGTGAAATGTTATCACAAGGGATGTCCAGACACAATGTAAATGTCACTGAACGAAACTTGGATGCTAATGCTCTGGCGAAGCATGCATTCATTGGGTTTTTTTAAAAGTGAGGTTTGCGGGAACCTGAATGAAATTTGCTGGCTCGTTCTTAAAACTGTTTCATAAAGTGCTTGGGCAGGCTATCGGGTTGCCCCAACAGAGGAATGTCAACTTGAACGTACAGAAAAGTTGAGGTTAATCTTGAATATCTGTTGTGCTTTTCTGTTGCCTGTTTCTCTGTTGCCTGGATCACTGGAGAGTAGGGAGAAGATGTGTGTGTTGTACATTGATACAGTTATGAAATTTTATGCATAATGAACACAGTAAAGATATTAATGCAAAAAAGGAAAACTTAGCATTAAAAACTTTTCACACAATAAAAACATCACAAATGTACAGTGGTACCTTGGGTTACATACGCTTCAGGTTACATACGCTTCAGGTTACAAACTCTGCTAACCCAGAAATACTGCTTCAGGTTAAGAACTTTGCTTCAGGGTGAGAACAGAAATCGTGCTCCGGCGGTGCGGCAGCAGGAGGAGGCCCCATTAGCTAAAGTGGTGTTTCAGGTTAAGAACAGCTTCAGGTTAAGAACGGACCTCTGGAATGAATTAAGTATTTAACCCGAGGTACCACTGTATTAGGATTGTACTGCACATACCTTCCTATGAGGAGGTCCATTCTACCTGATGTTGGCCTTGGGCTTTTAGTGCGGTGACACCTGCCCATTAGAACCCCCCTCCCATTATACATTATTTACTAAAGTATTACTTATTAATACATCAGATAGGCACCTTTTCTATTGCTTCCAGCACTTGCTAAACACAGTCCTCTTTCAACAAGTTCTCTCAATGCAAATCCTTATTCCAGTTGGTGTCTGTATGGGATTCAAATTGATTTTAGTATCATCGCTAGCAACCCTTAGATACCAGGTGGCGATGATATTATTTAGCCAGAGATTTTGGTCTTAATTGTTGTTGATCTTTTAGTTGGGTGGGTTAAGTTGTGTCTTTTTAAAGTTATTTTAGTGCAAGCATTTTTAGTTAATGGTTTTTTTTAAAAAAAATGGTATTGTCTCAAAAAAACAACAACAACCAGCTTTGAGATAATTTTTTGTGGTAGGCAAAAAATTAAATATAATAAATAATAATATACAGTAACTTCCCTGCTCATTAAATAGACTATGTCATCTGAACTCCCAGAAAACAAATCAGGATGAATGCTCAATAAACATGATGTCTGGAAGTACCCACAAAAAGGGATTTGGGGCGGGGGAATGAGGAAGCAAATTTGGCTGATACTTCTTGAAACAAATAAGATAATGATAAAACATTATACTGTTCCCTCTCTGTGGTCTGTGGCTTCTAGAAGTTTGTGCTTAGCTCAACTCACTTCTGATGCTGTACGCTGAGGAAATGGGGAGTTTGGGTGACTGACCATGGGAAGAGATTTAGCTTCAGCTTTGCTCATCTGTGTGCCCTTTTGAAATTAAAATCAAGGCACACCCCTATCCCTGCCCTGCATTATATGGGGCAGACGCATAATTAAATGATCTTGCACTTGTCTACCCAAATGTAAGTCTCACAGAATTCGTTGGAGGTTACTCCCCAGTAAATGGATGTAGGATTTCCGCCTAAATCTCTGGTTTAGTTCTTCCTTCATTGCTGCCTCTGTAAATCACCTTTCTGCCAAAAAGTTCGTGGTGGTACATGTGTATATTTCAAGTGCGGCTGCCACTGTTGTGTCTAGTTTGTCACTAACTCAGGAAAATAGCAAAATGTTGATACCGTTCAACTGATGTAACTTGGATATGCAAGCCTCTCTGTTCCTACACCTACATTTCTCTGAACAACGCAGCTCATCACCAGTGGATTATCACAGTGTGAAGCAATCGTGTTCAGCATATGGAACAAAAGCAGTCAACACAGTTTACGGAATCGGAACGATAAATCACCTTGACAGTTAAGTTAATTTCAGTGGTCTCTTTTCTGTGCTCAGACTGCCACAGTAAAAAAAAAGAGTGCCTGGTTTGGTAATATATTTGTCAGTATTTTCCATGAGTTACTGACCCTTCTCCTGAGGTCAGACTACATATGTTAATGATAATTATCACTGGTCAGTGAAGTAGCAGCAGGGGTCAAGAGGGTTGGCGATGTGCAGGACAGACAGAAACAGGATTTGGACTTTGACATGTCCGGAAGGAGAAGGGCGCTCTGTCTCTCACACTCACACACACACACACAAACAAACACAAACACACACACACTGTCTTCTTGCTCTAAGTCACTCCCTGAGAAACTGTTTGCCTCAAAGGTGCAGTTTGCTCTAAAAAGCAGCATACAGAGAAAACAACCCAAATAGCAGCACACAGAGAAAACAATCAGGGAACTGGGAGCAGGAGGGAGAAGAGAACGTGTCAACTGTGTCATACTACAGTGGTACCTCGGGTTACAGACGCTTCAGGTTACATACACTTCAGGTTACAGATTCCATTAACCCAGAAATAGTACCTCGGGTTAAGAACTTTGCTTCAGGATGAGAACAGAAATCGTGCTCCGGCAGCAGCGGGAGGCCCCATTAGCTAAAGTGGTGCTTCAGGTTAAGAACAGTTTCAGGTTAACAACGGACCTCCGAAACGAATTAAGTACTTAACCACTGTACCACTGTATTTATTAATGAGCTCCCTTAGGACATTATCCACTCCATAATTCTGATTCCATGGAGAGAGTGGGACCTGCCTGCTGGCCTCACCCTCACCATTGCATCCCCTTTTTGACTCACCATTGCACTATCGATACATTGAGGTAATGTCCACTGTAATGTCAATTCCAGGAGGAATGGACACTGCAAGAGGCAGTTCTGGGAGGGGAGAAGCCAAGGTAGCTGGTTTCTATCAGCTTCTCCATCCCTCCTCTGCATCTGAGGTGGGTAAAGGTAAAGGACCCCTGGACGGTTAAGTCCAGTCAAAGGCAACTATGGGGTTGCGGCGCTCATCTCGCTTTCAGGCCAAGGGAGCCACCGTTGTCCACAGACAGCTTTCCCGGATCATGTGGCCAGCATGACTAAACCACTTCTGGCACAACAGAACACCATGACGGAAGCCAGAGCGCATGGAAATGCCATTTACCTTCCCGTCATGGCGGTACCTATTTATCTACTTTCACTGGTGTGCTTTCAAACTGTTAGGTTGGCAGGAGCTGGGACAAAGCAACAGGAGCTCACTCTGTCGCAGGGATTCAAACCACCAACCTTCCAATCAGTAAGCCCAAGAGGCTCAGTGGTTTAGACCACAGCGCCACCCAGGCCAAGATGTCCCACCTCTGTGCCTGTAGCGGACAGTGCTCTAGAGAGGGCCATCCTGTCTCGCCTGCTCCTCTGAAGTGGCCTGGTTTGTGGAGAGGGGCATCCTGTCTCGCCTTTCTGCCTGAAGCAGCCCAGTGGGCAGAGCAGGCCGCAGTGTCTCACCTCATCCTTTAAGGCAGCCTTGTGTTAGGGGGTTCTTTGCTTTGACTTGAGACCACTTCAGACAGTGTGTTCATATTTCTCTGTCCGATTACACAATAGGTAAGCTGTTCCAGTGAGGGTTTTGTGGGTCTTTTGGTCTTCATTACAGGTGAGTCAGCTTGGCATGATGTGGCAGAAAGGGGGGGAAATTGCACTTCTTCGTGCACAATTGGGGCAGCGCCATTAGCTGACAAGGTGATTAATCTCGCTGCCAGAAGATTTGCATTGCAAAGTGGCTCTTAATTGAGGTTCCGTCCAATTGTCTGTTGACCTAGGGGCTTGTCAATGATGAAGTATTAGAACCTCTGTTAGTGGAGCAGCGACCCCAATCCTATGGGGTTTTTCAGGGTGTGTGTGGCTTGTTTTCCTTAGGAAAACATCTCTAAAAAGTGTCTCTTTGGGTGAGGAAGACACTGTGTCCAGACCCCACCTACCTCTAGTAATACTGTGTTTCTTGTCTGTTTGATGTTGTAGTTGAACAATATCAATACAAAATGACTTTGGAGAACAGATTTGCCAATGTAGTCAAGTCATTCAAATCAAAAGTGGGGTGATATAGTGCCTTTTCTTGTCTTGCGATGTCACACTAAGCTGTGACAGACTCCATCTCTAGTGAGGGGAGCTGGGTAATGTGATAGTGCCTAACAGTGTCTTTAAAATCTATAACTCTTGCTGTTATCAATGCAGAAAATGTTTGGAATTAACTCACAGCGGTAGTGTTTGTTTTTATCTTTATGTATTTCTGTTTTTTATGTATTTAGATGCAGAACAGGAATGGAGAGCCCCTTTCTACTTCATTCAAGGAGCGGATCCTCAGTTTGGATTGATGAAAGCGTATTCAATTGGCGACTGTGACCATGGAGGCGACGAATGGGAAGAGGAGCTCAAACTAACACAGCAAGCAGTGCAAGCGATTAACCAGCTGAACCCCAAACCGAAATTCTTCGTACTCTGCGGAGATCTCATACATGGCATGCCAGGTAGGATAGTTTTAAAAGAGAAAGAAACTGTTCCTGCTGGCACATTCCTCCAGAATTTGCTGGACTACTACAACGCCCATAATTCCAGATAGTTGCCCTTTTTTGGCAGGGGGCTGTCAGGAACTGGAGTCCAGCAAGAACTCCCTGCAAGCAGAGGTTGGGCAGGAGTCACCCCAGCTTCTAAAAACTGTGTTTATTCAAACAGGCCTTTCAAAGCTGGGATTCTCTGCCAACCAGCTCTCCCTGATGTGCTTGATGCTTTTATTGTAACGGTGTGTTTTGGCTCGTGACATTTTGTATGGAAGTGTAATTTATAAATAGTTTAAATAAACACAAGATCTGGAGGGTCACAGGCTTCCCACCCCTGCTGTAGTCTAACGAAATGCAGGTGCTGCCTTATACTGAATCAGACCCATTGGTCCATAGCTTGCTCAATATCGTCTACACTGGCTATCAGCAGCTCTCCAGGATTGCAGGCAGGGGTTTCTCCCAGCCCTCCCTGGAGATGCTGGGAAGGGAACCTGGGACCTCCTGATCTGTAGTTGTTACCTAAGAAAGGAAGCTCTTCCTTCTGAATGTCTCCTTGCACTGTGATGGGCAGCAGGTGGCCTGTGGGCTCTACCCGTCTTCCAACACCACATCTGGGTGAAGTAATCTTGTTAGCGAAATCAAAAGCCCGGCTTCCATTGAAAAATGAAATGCTAAGCTTCTCTCTCCCTCTCATGCTTATCGTAATAGATTTAGAAAGTATAACAATCAAAGACTAGCAACAAAGGCATTAGGTGAGAAGAAGCTTTGAATTTGTACTGGAGCAATGTTGGTTCTGTTTCACAAGAACTTCTTTTTTTCTGTTTAATGCCTCCCCCCTTCCTTCCTCCACCCCCCCCCCATCAACTCTTCAAAATATGCTGAGTGCTATTACCACTGGTTTGGCACCTCTCAGATCTTTTTTTATTTTTTAATTCCTCACTTCTTTTTTAGTGCTGGGAAATAATGATGATAAACCAGAGATCTGCAACCAATATATTTATTTCTGAGGTGTGTCTCTATACTGCTCCTTAACTTTTTAAAAAATATATATATCTTTATTAATTTAAAATAAATACATTTATAAGAAAACAGATGTACATACAAGTAAACAAACATACAATCAAACGAACGAACAAATAAAAGAAAAATCAAACAAACCACCACACTATAAGATACAAGAAGATTAATATAATTATCATCATATATACTCCTGATACTGAACACAATTATAAAATTTATAGAGAAGAAATTTAAAACTGACTTCCAATAAATCTCACTGTACTTTATCTATCCGTTACTTAATACCGCACAGTTACGTATTTCTTATATAGAACTTATATTTCTACAATACTGCTCTTTAACTTATAAAAATTCAAAACCCCGTTTCTCAGGATGCCTACAACTGGCAGACTATGCTTTGAAGGGAGGCCTCATAGCAAGGGTGGAGAACCTTTGGGCTAGATGCCCCTTCAGGGCTGACCATTGGCCATGATAGCTGAGGCTGATGAGAACTGAAGTCCAACCACCTCTGGAAGGCTGCAGGCGCCCCTTCTCTCCCTTGTAACCAGGACGCCTTCGCTGAAGGGAGGCAGGACTGAGATGGTTTGGAGAGAGCATGCCTGTACATGGCTCATTCTAGGTCTGATAAACCATGAGTTACTGGACCAAGGTGGCTATGTCTGAACCAGCCCTTTTGTATCACCTTGTGCAAATATCTGTCTCTTGGCCCTGGGTGGTATGGAGAGAGCTCCCTGGAGAAGTGGGAGAAGGATAAAAACAGGATGCGGAAATAGTCTTTTTCTCCAGTTACCTTGCCACTGGTCTTCCTTTTCCTTGACCTCCTTCCTTCCTTCCTTCCTAACTTACCTTCCCATTGGGCGTCTCAGCTTTCTGGCTTACCCAACACCCCTTCTCTCTCTTACCTCTTTATTTCTTGACAGCACCACTAAGTAATTTATTTCTCTGTCTCCAAACTGATCTTCCCCTTTCCCACAAGAGCTGCTCACCCACTCCCCCTTGGTGTCTGATATGCTCATGAACTTTCCATGACATGAGTAGCAGTTCAGCCCAGAGGCTTTGTCTCGCAGGCGTTCGGCTGTCTCTGACAAAGGCAGCCCTCGATTTTCACTTCGTCTCTCTCCCTGCTCCTTTCCATAATAATCTTCCATATGGCTCACCTGTTGCTTACAATGGGACATAAAAAACCAACAACATATTAATATAATGATTCCTTGAAGCAAATGGTTCTTTTTCTATATGTGGGCAAATTGCCTTCAACCTCTCTGTCTTATTGAAACGTCACCCCAGCACCTTACAAATTGCTCATGTTCCGTGACGAGATCTACACAGAGATGCATCGTTATGAGTTTCCAAAGTGTCAGTTGCTTATTTCATCCAGAAAATAAGCAGTCGTCACTGTATGGAACTGGCATTAGGGGTGTGGGAGGTGTTCGATTCAGTTCACATTTAAAGGCGAGCTCAAATAATTTGCACTTTGAAACACGACGCAAACTGAAATGCAGCCTTCATTGAAATTTGCATGTCTCTGAATTTTTCAGTGCGGTTCTGCAGCCGAGTAATGTGTGCAGAAAAGCATATATATTAGTGCAAATAACCTAGAAACATGCATTATAGTGGAGAAAACTGCTTTGCAAAAATGTACATATGAGGGAAAACTGAACATAAAATGCAGTTAGGCGAAATGAGCACTAAAATGCTGATGAATTTCCACACTGGCTTTTTAAAAAATTACAATTGATGTGGAGAAGTGAACATGAGAGTGAAAAAAAATGAGAAACTGAGGGAAACTGAAATGGACAGATTCTCCTGTTCTTAACTGACATGCATAGGATGTATTTACATTAAGGCTTAACTGTCATCTCTTTCTCTGCATTCAAACTGAGGTCTCTTTTTCCCAGAGGAGCTCCCAACATGCTTCTCTCTAGCACCTGAACTATAGTTTAGCGTCAGATGGTTAAGCCTCAGGCTTGTGAGTCCTCCCTCTTCTCTGTCACAGCCCCAAGAAAGGAAATTGGAAACTACAATTCCCAGGGTTCCTTTGGAAGGAGGGGTTGATTGTTAAACCACTGGGAATTACAGCTCTGTGGAGGGAACAAGGGATCTCCTCACATCTCTCAGAATCCTTAAGAAACTACGGTTCCCAGGATTCTTTGTGGGGAAGGCCATGCTCATTTAAAGTCTGATGCAGGTGGGGCATTTGATATTGCTCCTGTTGTACCAAGTTCTTCATTGTCAGAGCAAAAGGTTTCTGGATGAGATGGCGGAGGGTGAGGAGGATTTTAGGCTGATCCAGCAGCGGCAATTATTATGTTCTTTCTAGCCATGGTGATTGAATAGAGCTTCCAGGTTTAGAGACAATGTACCTTAGGATACCAGTTGATGGAGAACAAACCCAGGAAAGAGGGTCGTTTGTCTTTATGTCTTCGTTGTGGGCTTCCCAGAAGCAACTAGTCAGTTGTTGTGGGGAATGCGATGGTGGATCCGAGATGGAGCTCTGTTACGGTACAGTAAAGGTAAAGGGACCCCTGACCATTAGGTCCAGTTGTGGCCGACTCTGGGGTTGTGGCGCTCATCTCACTTTATTGGCCAAGGGAGCCGGTGTACAGCTTCTGGGTCATGTGGCCAGCATGACTAAGCCACTTCTGGTGAACCAGAGCAGTGCACGGAAACGCCATTTACCTTCCCGCCGGAGTGGTACCTATTATCTACTTGCACTTTGACTTGCTTTCGAACTGCTAGGTTGGCAAGAGCAGGGACCAAGCAACGGGAGCTCACCCCATCGCGGGGATTCGAACCGCCGACCTTCTGATCGGCAAGTCCTAGGCTCTGTGGTTTAACCCACAGCACCACCCGCGTCCTTACGGTACAGTAGGGCTCAGTTAATGCTCTTAATGTTACCATTTCCCAACCTAACCTCTCCTTACAGGGCTGTTATGGTGAAAATGGGAGCATGGAGACAATGTGTGCCACCTTAAGCTCCTTGGCGGAAAACTGGAATATGAATTTAATAACTTGAGGGATTGCCTTAGGATATGCCCTCTTGACCGCTTTCATCTGTGAAAATGGCACTGTTACAGGCGTCACATATACACTGGTTGCTTGTAAGAAATTGACCTTTTAGCATGGCAGCATCTACAGTTTTAGCATATTGTAGATTTGAGTTATTATTCCCTTTTATTCTTGTTTATAACTGTGTCTTTTACTGATAACTTTAAATTTTCATTATCCATCACTTTCAATAAAAATAATAAGAAGCAAAATGTATAAGGAGATTAATATAACTAACAGTACAGTGGTACCTCGGGTTAAGAACTTAATTCGTTCTGGAGGTCCGTTCTTAACCTGAAGCACCACTTTAGCTAATGGGGCCTCCCATTGCTGCCACGCTGCTGCTGTGCGATTTCTGTTCTCATCCTGAAGCAAAGTTCTTATCCCGAAGTACTATTTCAGGGTTAGCAGAGTCTGTAACCTGAAGCGTCTGTAACCTGAGATACCACTGTAGTTGTAAATGAATACAGACAGACAACAAGAATTGTATAAACAGGAGGATTTATTTATTTATGGATATACTATGGGCAAATATGGAAAATGAATAACAATATACAAAATGGATGAAAATAATGCGATAAAATTATATGTGATATAAAAAACCAGAAGAAGGAAGGAGGGAAGTCAGCGCTTAGGAACAAGTATAAATGTAAAATGCAACACATTATGTGTATGTGGAATATGCAGCCGGAAAACTAATAAAATTATTTGGATAACTTTAAATTTTGTTTTTGTAAACTGCTTAGAGGTTTTATTTACAACCAAGCAGCAAATAAGATGAGTCAGATGCTAACTACATAGGTTAAGAGCATTTTGAAGCAGGAAGAATGTAAGGCCAGACTCCTGGATCAGACCCCATCTAGTTCAGCATCCTTTTCTCACAGTGGCTTGTCAGTGGGAACCCTGCAAGGTGGACATGAACACAACAGCACTCTGCCTACCTGCAGTTCCCTGCAGGTGGTAATCAGAGGCTTAATGTCTCTGATAGTGGAGGTAGAACATAGCCATAAGGTTAGTGGCTGTTGAAAGCCTTCTCTTCCGTACGAAGAGGCACTTAGGAAGCTGGCTTAGATTCAGACCATGGGGCCATCCATCTCAGTACAGTGGTACCTCGGGTTACATATGCTTCAGGTTACATATGCTACAGGTTACAGACTCCACTAACCCAGAAATATTACCTTGGGTTAAGAACTTTGCTTCAGGATGAGAACAGAAATCGTGCTTCGGCGGCAGCAGGAGACCCCATTAGCTAAAGTGGTGCATCAGATTAAGAACAGTTTCAGGTTAAGAACAGACCTCCAGAACGAATTAAGTTCTTAACCCAAGGTACCACTGTACTGTCGACACAATACTATCTCCCAGCCCTACCCGGAGATACCGGGGATTGAACCCAGGAACTTCTGCTTGCAAGGCAGACACTCTGCTGCTGAGCTATGACGGCGCAATGCTTACAGAGAACAAGAATACAGTGTAATACTTCCCATAATATTTCAAAAGGGCTGCTCTCTCCTCTCCTCCTTCTCCCCTCGGTTTGCCAAATGTTACCAAATATACATTTTAGTCGCACAACTTATAAAACATTTAAACGGAACATATTGAACACAGCCAAGATCGCTTCTGCGCTGCTTGCCGTGTTTGCTCTGCACTTGTGTAAACATTGACAGTAGCCCCCTGCGCTGTTTTCGAGCCCTAGCTAGGAAGCGAAAGAACAGCCGCTTCTTCCTCTGGAGGTCTTTTCGCACCTACTTCTACAAACAGTCTTCTGTGCCATCCGGATTACTTTGGGGATAAATGGCTTTGCACACGGCCATGCATTATTAAAAAGTGTCTTTTTTTAAAAAAAGAAAAGGGAAGAAAGGAAAACTAGCGCTAATGGCTAGCTAAGTTGTGTCCAAGGATGTGAAAGCAAGCGGTTAAGTACAGAGTGTCTCAGTTGACTGCAAATGCCATCAGTTGTGGAGGATGACGCAAGACTCAACCCATGTGGTGTGAATCCCCAAGATCTCAGCAAGGACTTATCAGGGACAGTGACTGGTTCCCTGCATAGGAACATAGACAGCTGCCTTAACACTGAATTTGACAGATGCTCCACCTAGTTCAGCATTGTCTATGCCACGGTTTCCCAAATGTGGGTCTCCAGCTGTTTTTGGACTACAACTCCCATCATCCCTAGCCAGCAGGACCAGTGGTCAGGGATGATGGGAACTGTAGTCCAAAAACAGCTGTAGTTTGGGGGACCCTGACCTACACTGACATGCAGCAACTCTCCAGGGTTTAAGGTGAGGGGTGTTGCCAACCCAACCTTGGAAATCAGACCTGAGACATTAGCAGACATAGTCCTTCCCACCTCTATAGAAGCCCAGCCCCGGGCTTAGTGGGAGAATATTTGCTTGATCTTATATTATTAATAGGGACGCGGGTGGCGCTGTGGGTTAAACCACAGAGCCTAGGACTTGCCGATCGGAAGGTTGGCAGTTCAAATCCCCATGACAGGGTGAGCTCCTGTTGCTCAGTCCCTGCTCCTGCCAACCTAGCAGTTTGAAAGCACGTCAAAGTGCAAATAGATAAATAGGTACCGCTACCTATTTAAGGTAAACGGCTGTACGCCGGCTCCCTCGGCCAATAAAGCGAGATGAGCGCCGCAACCCCAGAGTCGGCCACGACTGGACCTAATGGTCAGGGGTCCCTTTACCTTTACTATATTATTCATGCATTCATTTATTTATTTATTTCCTATACCACCCTTCATCCAAAGATCACAGGGAGGTTTACAATATGAAAACACAAAAAATGCATACCATAATAACAAACGGAAACACTAACCTCACATGCCCACAGTTTAAAAGGCTATTGATTGTTTAATTTGCCAAAGGCCTGGGAGAATAGGAATAGTTTTGCCTGACACCTAAAGATGTGTAACGAAGGGGCCAGGCGAGCTTTCCTGGGGAGAGCAGTCCACAAGTGGGGAGCCACCACAGAAAAGGCCCATTCTCATTTTGCCACCACCCAGACCTCTCGTGGAGGAAGCACACAAAGAAGTGCCTCAAATGATGCTTGCAGGGTCTGAGTCAGTTCATATGGGGAAAGGTGATCCTTGAAGTATTGCAGTCCTGAGCCGTTTAAGGCTTTATAGGTCAAATCAGCACTTTGAATAGGGCCCAGAAACTAATTGGCAGGCAAGTACAGCCAGGCCGGGATTGGCATTACAGTGGTACCTCAGGTTAAGAACTTAATTCATTCTGGAGGTCCGTTCTTAACCTGAAACTGTTCTTAACCTGAGGTACCACTTTAGCTAATGGGGCCTCCCACTGCCTCCGTGCGATTTCTGTTCTCATCCTGAAACAAAGTTCTTACCCTGAGGTACTATTTCTGGGATAGCAGAGTCTGTAACCTGAAGCGTATGTAACCTGAAGCGTATGTAACCCGAGGTACCACTGTATATATTCAAAGTGGCTTGCCCTGGTGAGCAACCTGGCCAATAAATTCTGCACCAGCTGAAGTTGCTGAACTGTCTTCAGAGGCAGCCCTGTTTGCCTCCTTGCTACAAACAGTAGTGCCATGTATATGGGGAGTTAAGCTAACTCTACTCTCCCGCTTCCTAGGGGGTTAGATCAGAGTTTAGTATTTATACAACTTTGCGTGTGTGTGTCTTGGTTTAGAATCTCTAGCTTTAAAAAAAAATAATAAAAATATTTAGTATTATTTTAAATAGTGTTCTTTGTTCAAGGGCTTCCAGAATTAGAACGAAGCAATGATGGGATGCAAAAATAATTCTGCTGCTGATTGCAATGAAGAAAATGACCTGATTAAGGAAATTGTCACAGGAAAGCGGGAATTAAGTCTGTTGTTCTTCTAAGGATTTGAATAAATCTTTTCTCCTGTTTCTTAATATAATATTTGAGGTTGTGGGGGGAAGGAGGAGAGACACTGACTTTTGGTAATCCTAAAACACAACCTGCCCCCGCATAATCAGTTTTACAAGATGCATCCAGTTGTGGTTTCAGGCTACAAAATTGATGGCCTCTGATCTGCAGGCGTTTTGGTTGCTGTCTCCTTGGAGCCAATGAATATACGAAACAAATTTATGTGGTGATAAATTCATGCAGCTACAAGACTGGTGCCCAGGTTTTTGGAGTTTGTTTGTTTTTAAAGAGAGATGGACTAATTTAGTGTTATTGTTTTTTAAATTGCTGTGGTGGTTTAGTGTGCTGAGTTGTTAAGTTCATAATACTAGAGCTCGTGGAAATCCAACAGAGCTCAGTGTTGGAAAATTCAGGAGGACATATAAAAGAAAATACCTCTTCCCACAGTGCATAGTTAAACTATGTAACTCTTTCACACGGGATGCAGTAATGACGACCAACTTGGATGGCTTTAAAAGAGAACTAGACAAATTCATAAGGGACGCAGGTGGCGCTGTGGGTTAAACCACAGAGCCTAGGACTTGCCGATCAGAAGGTCGCCGGTTCGAATCCCTGCGACGGGGTGAGCTCCCGTTGCTCGGTCCCAGCTCCTGCCAACCTAGCAGTTCGAAAGCACGTCAAAGTGCAAGTAGATAAATAGGTACCGCTCCAGCGGGAAGGTAAATGCGGTTTCCGTGTGCTGCTCTGGTTCGCCAGAAGTGGCTTAGTCATGCTGGCCACATGACCCGGAAGCTGTACGCCAGCTCCCTCGGCCAATAAAGCGAGATGAGCTCCGCAACCCCAGAGTCGGTCACGACTGGACCTAATGGCCAGGGGTCCCTTTACCTTTACCTTTTAGACAAATTCATAGATGAAAAGGTTGTCAATGGCCACTAGCCATGATGGCTGTGCTCTGCCTTTACAGTCAGAGGCAGTATTTTTTCTGAATAGCATAGAATTGTGGGGTTGGAAGGGACCCCCAAGGATAATCTAGTCCAACCCCTTGCAATGCAGGAATTTCAGCTATAGCACCCAAGACAGATGACCATCCAACCTCTGCTTAAAAACCTCCAATGAAGGCGAACAAGGACACACAAAAACCCAGGAATCAGAGACCCGTGTTGCTTCCAGAAACAGGAATGCTCAAGAGGGAGACCTTAAATAGTGCAACCTCCTAGGCTACTGGTCTTCAACGGTTGGATCAGGACCCACCAATGTGTCATGCCTTGCTCCAAAGTGGGTTACAACAGGAGCACTTCCGGTATGCAGATATATGACCAAAGATTAAGAAATGGGGGCCCCAGTGTGTGCTAGGGCAAAAAAAGGGGTACTGGGTATGAAAAGGTTGAAGGGGTTTGTCGGAGACCACACCCCAACTCTGGCTGCTGGTAGTAAAGGAATTTCAGGGGTTGCTTACTCACAAGCAGCCTGACAATTCTGGGTCTGTAGACTGATAATAATAATAATAATAATAATAATACTATATTTATGCCCCGCCCATCTGGCTGGGCTTCCCCAGCCACTCTGGGCGGCTTCCAACAAAATATTAAAATACAGTAATCCATCAAACAAGGGACACGGGTGGCGCTGTGGGTTAAACCACAGAGCCTAGGACTTGCCAGTCAGAAGGTCGGCGGTTCAAATCCCCGTGACTGCATGAGCTCCTGTTGCTCGGTCCCTGCTCCTGCCAACCTAGCAGTTCGAAAGCATACCAGTGCAAGTAGATAAATAGGTACCGCTCCGGTGGGAAGGTAAACGGTGTTTCCGTGCGCTGCTCTGGTTTGCCAGAAGCGGCTTAGTCATGCTGGCCACATGACCTGGAAGCTGTACGCCGGTTCCCTCGGCTAATAAACCAAGATGAGCGCCGCAACCCCAAAGTTGGTCACGACTGGACCTTTACCTTTTAATCCATCAAATATTAAAAGCTTCCCTAAACAGGTCTGCCTTCAGATGTCTTCTTAAAGTCTGGTAGTTATTGTTCTCTTTGACATCTGGTGGGAGGGCGTTCCACAGGGCAGGTACCACTACCAAGAAGGCCCTCTGCCTGGTTCCCTGTAACTTGGCTTCTCGCAGTGAGGGAACCTTCAGAAGGCCCTCGGCGCTGGACCTCAGCTGAACCCATGCTATGATGTTGCTCTTTGGCCTGGTCCTGGACCTTTGGTACCTTTGTCCTTGCCGTGTGGAGTGTCTGGTCTACCCTCTGAGGACTCAGTGCCTGGTTCACCCTCCAAGGCCTCAGGCCCCAGAGATTGCCAGGGGTTGAGCCTGAGACTTTCTGTATTCAAAGCATGTGGTCTGCCTCTGAGTAGTGGTGCCTCCTCTTCGGAGAAGAATGGCCAAAGCACAGCTGCTGTTGAGCTGCTCTGGTGTCGAGGCCTAGGCACATGGCGACTTCCTAGGATTCCAAGAGCCCGGGGGCAATAAATAGCATCCTTATCAGCTAAACTAGGACGCAATCAAGCAGAACACTTGGGAGCGCATTATGAGCCATTAAAAGGAAGTAAGTAATCAGTGGCAATGTCTTCAGTTATGTAGAGGGTGATTAAAATTGGTTTGTACTTGGGATCATTATTAGTAGTAGTGTGAGAAGCTTTCTTTTTTATTGTGTGACCATGTATAGCGCTACCAAGAACTGTGGAGTTTAATCATGCATTTCATCAGATAGATATTTGCTGTGTAGAGACTTTGCCAGAAATACTGAGGTGCATGCGTCACCCCCACCCCAGAAAATTATAGTTTTGTTGTTAGGAGGCCATGCTGCTGTGGACTGTGTTACATCAGCAGAAGACATGATTGCCATGTACATAATTTCAATGGGTCAGTCTGCTGTAAAATGCATTTACTGCATTTTGGAAACAGGTGCCATCTTTTTTCTCTTCCTCTCTGCCCCGCAGTGAACTCAGGGGGAACATTTTCCTCCGGTTTTTAGAAGCCAGGTTAGCACAGCACTGATTGGGCAGCTCTTTTGTCAGTCACAAAGTCGCACCCCCTTCCTCAAGGCCAGCAAACTTTTTCAGCAGGGGGCCCGGCCCACCGGCCCTCAGACCTTGTGCGGGGCCGGACTATGTTTTGAAGGGGGAAAATGAACGAATTCCTATGCCCCACAAATAACCCAGAAATGCATTTTAAATAAAAGCACACACTCTACTCATGTAAAAACATGCTGAGTCCCAGACCGTCTGCAGGCCAGCTTTAGAAAGTGATTGGGCCGGATTTGGTCCCCGGGCCTTAGTTTGCCTACCCATGCTCAAGGCTATGGCTGACCATTGTCCCTTCCCTCCCCTACCAGCTTCTATTATATTGAGTGGGCAGTTGGAGAAATTTTGGTGCCAATCATAAAACATGCAAGGCGTTACAAAACAAAAGAAGACCGCTCACCTGATTTTTTTGGGGGGGAGGGTATCATGGAATCCCGGAAATGGTGTGTTAGGGTCAAAAACATTTTGAGCCCGAACATTGCATTGCCTTCCAGGAACATAATGTGAGTAGTATTGGCTTAGACATTAGATGAAACAGCAATACCAGACTCCACCCCGCACAGCCGGGAGTCATATCAGGGTTAACAACCAATGGGAGGAGCTTGTTGATGCAAATACAACTGGAAGCTTCCCCGTGATGTCACTGGGGGTCGTGCCATGGCCCTAGCCACCAACAGGGCATTGAACAGGATCCACGGCTGCCGGATTCCTTTAATGGAATACCCAAAAGAGGAGAGGTAGATGATGGCGCATACCCAATCCTCCAACACAGCACACCTCCAACAATGCCTAACTGCCAATACCAGAAAGTTGTGACGAATTGCTACGAGGTAGGCGAAAAAACCAAGAGGCTGCCCCAGCGGGAAGCTGCTCCCGCTCAGAACCCCTCCCCTCTGGGAGGAGGAGAGGCCTTTCCAAAAAAAGGAGAACAGAGCTTCACTTTTCTCCGTATCTATGGGAGAGTTATCCCTCTTGCAGTTTACTGGTGCTGTGAAAGTCTGACTAGCTTTTGGATCTCTAGTTTTATAAACCAGTAGATCGAAACCAATTTTTTTAAAAAAATGTCTGCATGAACAGGTTTGCAAAACATGATTAAAATATTGTACTGGCCTCCTCCTGGAGCATTAGAAAACAAGCTTATACCACCTTCCATGTGACAGCCCTTCATATATTTGAAGATGGGCTATCATATCACCACTTAGTCTTCTCCAGGCTAAACATACCCAACTCCCTCAACCATTCCTCATAAGGCTTGGTTTCCAGACCCTTTTGTTGTGTAGATTGCTGGTGTCTGCATGCCTTCCAGCTTGTCAATATACTTCTTAAACTGTGGGGCCCAGATGTGGACACAGTATTCCGGGTGAAGTCTGTTGACAGATTATGAAATGGTGGTACATAAGTACTTGAAGAAGAAGAAGAAGAAGAAGAAGAAGAAGAAGAAGAAGAGTTTGGATTTGATATCCCACTTTATCACTACCCGAAGGAGTCTCAAAGCGGCTAATATTCTCCTTTCCCTTCTTCCTCCACAACAAACACTCTGTGAGGTGAGTGGGGCTGAGAGACTTCAGAGAAGTGTGAATGGCCCAAGGTCACCCAGCAGCTGCATGTGGAGGAGCGGGGACGTGAACCCGGTTCACCAGATTACGAGTCCACTGCTCTTAACCACTACACCATACTGGCAACAGAGGACCTTGCCTTAACACAGAGGTTGTTGCCTTGGCACTGACTGACATGGCAGCACTTTCTGTGGCTTGCTGTGTACCACTTAGTGGGCAGAAAGGCAGATTAGGAATATTTAAAATGCCCAAGCTTTCCCCCAGAGAGCCCACTACAAGGCATGCTGCATGGGGCAGATAACTAAATTACCTTCCACAAGTTGCTCCAAATGTTGACAGATTTTTAAGTAGATGCTACAAGTGCACGCCACAACCTCCTTCAAGCTTCATTTATTGCCCAGTGAACTATTCTGTAGCCATTAATGACCAGGCAAAGTGGTTTTGCCCGCAATTTTTTTAAAATGTCCAGCAGACAGAACCACACTGAACTTGATATGTACCTGATATGATAATGGATGGGTGAGGCCAAGGCCTGCATCGCTTAACAGTTCCTTTTAGACACAGGCCTCTGGAGCTCATCGTCAGCAAATGGAAAAGGCCGCGGCATAGTCACAGCAGATTATTGATTGTGTTGCCATTGAAGCATTGGAGGGTACGAGGAATGCAAGGCTTGTGAACGCCTGAGGAGATGTTAGCACCACATTGCCACCTGCTTTGGGAACACCCATTGTTTTAATTATTGAAACTCAGTCGGAGCCGGTATGGTGTACAGTAGTAGTAGATAACGTTGCATTGGGTTATTTTAAAAAAATATGTTTTGTATGTTTTGGATAGTAATTTATGTTATGGAAATAGTGTTTGTATCAGGACCAGAATACACATCTCTTGTCAGCCAAGATGTTTGGTGGGTGCTGGAGTTAATGTCAGCTTTTTTGGCCTGACCTCTCTCAGAGGGTTGTAAGGAGTTTTGTATGGAGCCTCAAGTTGTTTGGAGCAAGGGCAGAATAAACATGTCTCATGGACAGTCATACCTCGGGTTACAGACGCTTCAGGTTGTGTTTTTTCGGGTTGTGGACCGCTGAAACCCGAAAATACCAGAACTGGTTACTTCCGGGTTTTGGCGGTCGCATATGCGCAGAAGCTCCGAATCGCAACATACGCAGACGCGGGTTGCGAACACTGTGGGTTGCGAACGTGCATCCCGCACAGATCACGTTTGCAACCTGAGCTTCCACTGTACCACTTCTCTACACAACCCTTTCTCCTGTTCATTCCCCCCCCCCGCACGGTTTTTACACGTGCGCACAAGAACTGTTCTTGGAGCAGCCCCCCGCAAATGGAGACAATAGGTCATTTAAGCCTATTCTAGACAATGGGAGCAGGAGAGCACTGTTAACGTACCACAATAGGGGAACTGGGGGAATCTTGAGCATGAGACTCAACCTCATGAAGATGGGGAGTCAGGTCATTTAAAAACACACTTAAAACAAATTGAAGGGGTGGGGGCAAAGTACAGCCCAGTCTAATACTCCTTAGTACAGTGGTACCTTGGTTCTCAAACAGCTTAGTTGTCAAACAAATCGACTCCCGAACGCCACAAACCCGGAAGTGAGTGTTCCGGATTGCGAACGTTCTTCAGAAGCCAAACGTCCGACATGGCTTCCACTTGAGTGCAAGAAGCTCCTGCAGCCAATAGGAAGCCGCACCTTGGTTTTCGAACGGTTTTGGGATTTGAACGGACTCCCAGAACAGGTTAAGTTCGAGAACCAATGAACCACTGTAGTAGGAATTAGAGACTTGCTCTTGCTTCCCACATCTAGCATGGCTAGAAGTTTAATTATATAAGCATCTGATGAGAAACAATAAGCCTTTATCCATGGAAGTTGCATATAATTTACGGTGTATCAGGAGTAGGACGACTTTTTCATCCTGGGCTATTTTCTGAGGGCACATGGAGGTGGCCAGAGGCAAAAGGGAGCAGAGCAACGTATGCACATTTTACCCCTGTACAGTAGGCTACTTTCTACACACACTTACACACCCCTCTTTGTCATCCGTCCAGGCAAGCAGGAAGTATTACCAGTTTGATAAGCGCCCAAGGAGGGTACAAAGCAGGGCTGGTGAGGGATATGGCTTGCGGAGGGGGCCAGGTTGAGAGGCCTAGGGGGGCCACATTTGGCCCCTGGGCCTGAGGTTCCCCATCCTGGATTTAGATGGTAATTTATAGGCAGTGAGTGTCATATCGGTTCATGTTTCCTGATCATACCTCCCCTGGCGCATGAATGTTTATGTCGGGAGGTGTGCATGCCTACATGCGCACAAGTCCCCTTCAACTCTGCGAGGCTTTCTTCTGAGTGGACGTGTGTTGTGTTGTCTAGAATTGCTCTGGTAGAAAAAGAAAGAAAGGACGTAATTCATCTTCTGCAGGTGTATGTAGTATAGTTCTGGCACTTGCTTGACTTCCATCTCCACTAGTGATTGGAGGGGCGGGGAACTGCCGTTTCTGAAAATGCATTGTTTCATAAAATATCAGTGACATAATAAAACGGATACAATACCTGTCAAAATTGTAAGGTTTAAAGCTTGTAATTAAGTTCACCCACCCACCCACTCTCCTTTGGGTGGCCATCCTTGGGAAGCATGCATGTCAGTGTAATAAATATACATTTGCAGTTCTCTAGGTTGGCTAAAATTAGCATTTTTCAGCACCTTCATTCCCACCTTCCCTTTCAAAGCTTAAAAGAAAATGTTAAGGTAAATGTATTTGAAGCGTGTACACACACACACACACACAAATAAATATTTCAGTAAAAATGATTTACAAATAAACTTTGAGTTTATTGGAATGTAACTTTTAAGCCACCTTTAAGCACACACACATATGCGTCAACTTCGGTGTCAGTCCTATTGAATTCAATGGCACTTACTCCCAGGTTGGGTATACAGTGGTACCTCGGGTTACATACGCTTCAGGTTACATACGCTTCAGGTTACAGGCTCCGCTAACCCAGAAATAGTGCTTCAGGTTAAGAACTTTGCTTCAGGATGAGAACAGAAATCGTGCTCCAGCGGCGCAGCGGCAGCAGGAGGCCCCATTAGCTAAAGTGGTATCTCAGGTTAAGAACAGTTTCAGGTTAAGTACGGACCTCCGGAATGAATTAAATACTTAACCCGAGGTACCACTGTATGGTTGCAGCTTAAGTGTGCCTTGATTGAATTTCTTTTACTTTCAATGAGTGTTTTAGTTCAAATACTTCTGGCTTCTAGACTGAGATGTTTTATTGTGGTTTTATAATTGTTGGAAGCCATCCAGAGCAGTTGGGGCAACCCAGTCAGATGGGCAGAACAACAACAACAACAATTGCTGCACACTAATATTAAAATTGCACACCCCATATCTGCATCAAGTATTCATATTGATTTTAATAATATGTTATTGCTTCTTTTATTCCTTATGTTGTTTCTTAACGTTCTACAATTTGAATTCTGTGGAATGCAAATCGTAGTAGAATAAAACAAAATACAAGGAACAGAATAAGCAGTAAAAATTCAATTGAAATTGTACAGCATCTAGCACAGCACATTAGAATTTCTACAAGAGACAGAAAATTCAACCAGTGATCTGCCAAGACCCTCAGTAATTTCCAAGTGGTCTGGGAGGGGGGATGGAGTTTAGAAACCGCTGCTTTAGGGCATTGTGTTTTTCCACCCAGGAAATGCCCTCCGAACCCCAACCCTGTATCCTATATTTCAGCTACTTTGGGAGGCCATCGCTCAGGGGTAGAGCACATATTGTGATGCGGAAGGTCCCAAGGTTTGAGACCTCCTGCCTGAGAGATAGCTTTCCACCGTAGAATGAGAAATAAGTGGCTACCAATTATCCACAGATGTGAAATGACCTGACAGAATTAAGTGTGGGATCCATTCTCTTTATTTCAGGATTGAAAGGTCAAATGGATGAATGGATCAAAAGCCAATAATCCATGCTAATATAATTCATTCATTCATTGCCCTTTGCTTAATACCAGTCATAATATTAAAGCAGGCAATCAAGAACACAAAGAGAATAATGATTTTGTCCCTCTTCTCATCTCAGTCTCTATTATCATCCCATCTCTGTCCCCTGCTCTATGGCTTGTAATCCTGGTTACTATCACAGTTCCACTATCAGGAACTCAAGTTTGCTTAGCGAGATCGAGTTTCACCACTGCCCCATTCCCTCACTAGCAGAAGTGTTAGAAACTCAGATATCACCAAATGGCACCTTAAACTTAGGTTACGGTTGTCACAATGAAATGTCTTGTTGTTGTTTAGTCGTTTAGTCGTGTCCGACTCTTCGTGACCCCATGGACCAGAGCACGCCAGGCACTCCTGTCTTCCACTGCCTCCCACAGTTTGGTCAGACTCATGCTGGTAGCTTCCAGAACACTATCCAACCATCTCGTCCCCTGTCGTCCCCTTCTCCTTGTGCCCTCCATCTTTCCCAACATCAGGGTCTTTTCCAGGGAGTCTTCTCTTCTCATGAGGTGGCCAAAGTATTGGAGCCTCAGCTTCAGGATCTGTCCTTCTAGTGAGCACTCAGGGCTGATTTCCTTTAGAATGGATAGGTTTGATCTTCTTGCAGTCCATGGGACTCTCAAGAGTCTCCTCCAGCACCATAATTCAAAAGCATCAATTCTTCGGCGATCAGCCTTCTTTGTGGTCCAGATGAAATGTCTAGGCACCTTCTTTTGCAGTGAAATTTGTTGTTGTTGTTGTTGTTTTTCGTTTCGTTTCTGTACCACTCTATAGTTTAAAGGACAAATCTCAAAGCGGTTTACAACACATTAAAACATCAAATCAAACTATTCAAGGGAAATATGCCATATCCTTCTCTAAGTGACATTTTGCTTTCCCCAGTCACCAACCTGGCATCCAAAATGGTCGCAATTGGACCCAAGCCAGTTGCAAAATGCACCTGGCGCCTGGCTAATTTCTAACACTGGCTAGTAGTGGTTCTCCTCTGGATAGCTGCCATTTTAATTTCCCATAATGCTACAGACTGGTGCTAAGTTAAGAACATTGTGTGGGAATTAAAATGGCAGCTGCCTTGCTTAAAAAAAAAAAAAAAAGTGACCCAGTACATTGCGTATTTTATTATTGCAAGCTGTTTCGGGACGTATCTGATGAAGAGCAGGATATGAATTGTTAAAGATATAAAGATTCATCTGCAGTGTTGACAGATCTGCTTGCTGAGTGTATCTAAGCCACCCAAGAAGCCTTGTTAGCAATAGGCACATTACAATTTACGCCTTTATCAAGGCGTGGCAGATCCCTGCACAGTTAGATTTTGCACGGCTCCCATTGTCCATGTGCTAAGAGCAAAGAAAATACCTTTTTAATTATGATTGCCACATTCCTTTATCAAAGTTGACTCTCTGCGGAAAACACACATTTGTTGGAATCGGTTGCCACCGAGCGTTGCTCTGTCCGCGTCTTCCACTTACAAAACCTGCCAAGATAACTTTCAAGTCCTTAATTTGCTAACTATAATGAGTATGATACGGCTCGGTGGAAATGACACAAATTGATATTTTTTAAGACATAAAAACTAGTTAAAGGAACAGAAGGCAGACGGGGGGAATTATGCCGGAGCTGTCAGATTTTTAAAAAGCTGCCCAGCCCTGGACAGTCTCATAACGGAAAACATGAGAGATTGTTATCGAGCATGACACATTATTAGAGCTTCCACGGGTGGGATGAAGCTCTCCGTTCGGAGGAGCAACGGGCGCTTTTCAGCGAACCTGAATGTTACAACCAAATATTCTTGAACCAAAGGGTTAGTCTATCGGGGGCAACTAGCCATGATGGCTGTACCTCGCCTGCAAAGTCGGAGGCTGCAATGCTTCTGAATACCACCTGCTGGAATCTTGTGTTCAGATTCAGCTTGCTGGTCTCCTGCATGTACCGTATTTTTCACTCTATAGGATGCACCGGACCATAGGAGGGGGAGAACAGGGGAAAAAAATCTCCCCCTCTCTGCTCAGCGCCCCTTCAGCGAAGCGGCAGGAGAAACGGAGAGGGAAAACTGCAGTGCCTCTCCAGCGAAGCGAAGCCTGGAGAGCGAGAGGGGTCGGTGCACACCGACCCCTCTCGCTCTCCAGGCTTCAGGTGGCTATCCGCAAGCCTTCGGAGCGCAGCAAAAGCAATGCAAAGCCTCCGGAGCGTGGGGGGAGCTCTCCCTCTGCGCTTCAGAGGCTTTGCGTTGCTATCGCTGAAGCCAAGGAACCTGCATTCGCTCCATAAGACGCACAAACATTTCCCCTTAATTTTTGAAGGGGAAAAAGTGTGTCTTATAGAGCAAAAAATACGGTATCTGGTTGACCACCACAGAATGCTGGACTAGGTGGGCCATTGGCCTGATCCAGCAGGACTCCTCTTATGTTCTTAACTGTCTGCTGGAACTGGCAGCCTCTCCCTTCCTTAACATATCTTAGTCTGTTGGTTTACATGCAGGGCTTCATTGCTTCACAGTGCCTTAAGCCTGTAGCTTTCTTTCCTGCCAAGACCGGACAAGCAGGGCCAAAAAACACACTGATTGTGCCTGCCCGCTTCAGAGGGTTGAAGTTAGAAGCCCTTAATCCAGTGGTTCCCATGGAATTTACTCTCCCATAGATTACTTGACCCCTGTCTCCCCTCACAGAGCTACAGTTCCCACAGTGGTTTAACAATCAATCCCTCTTCACAAGGAACTCTGGGAATTGTGGCTTGGGGGGGCAGGTAGGGGCCTCTCCTACACAAAATAAGCCTATATGTAGCTCCAGTGAGGTACGCGGGTGGCGCTGTGGGTTAAACCACAGAGCCTAGGGCTTGCTGATCAGAAGGTCGGCAGTTTGAATCCCTGCGACGGGGTGAGCTCCTGTTGCTCGGTCCCTGCTCCTGCCAACCTAGCGGTTCGGAAGCATGTCAAAGTGCAAGTAGATAAATAGGTACCGCTCCGGCAGGAAGGAAGCGGCTTAGTCATGCTGGCCACATGACCCGGAAGCTGTACGCCGGCTCCCTCGGCCAATAAAGCGAGATGAGCGCTGCAACCCCAGAGTCGGCCACGACTGGACCTAATGATCAGGGGTCCCTTTACCTTTACAGCTCCAGTAAATCCGTATTTCCCATCTCCCTACCACCACCACTCCTTTGTTTTGTCTCTCGTGCTGAATTTTAGATTGTAAGCTCACTGGGGCAAAAATCTCTCATAATGCAGAATGCACCACAGGTAGTGATAGTACTATATAAACAACAGGGGGGGGCGTTGCCTGATAGGTGGGATATATGTAACACAACTGCATCACCACTCTTCTGTTTATAAATTCATAAACTGAATAATGCATAGAGCATTTATAGTGTTGTTTTATACATTTAAATGACCCACTTGCTTGATAGATTAAACGCTGCACTCCTGGGGGTCGTTTCCACTTCACCTTGTAAATTGTCAGCACCCGTCTCCCACCAAATTATCCCCTTTGGGGCTATTGCCATTTGTTAATCTTGTATTATTAAAGCAAAACAGTGTTTTCTGAAAAATGCAGGCTGCGGAATTTTTTGCAACTCAAAGGGGAGCTGGATGACCAAAGGTCAGACTTAATAGAGAGGAATTTTCTTCTTGAATAATCCCAAGAGTTGAACTGTTTCTCTTTCAATCCCCATAGCACACACACACACAAAACCTTTTTAAAAGGAAGGCTTTTCCTGTAGTAATTGCCTGTCATTTGATGCACCGTGACTGCTACCCTCCCCTTCCTGCGGTTGTAGACAGTTCTAACCCTACCCAGAGTAGACCCACTGAAGTTACTGGACATGACTAGCTGAGACTTGTTCATCTCAGTGGGTCTGCTTTGAACACAACTTAGTGCAGTCCTTCTGTCTCCAGCGTTGATCTGCTTAACTTACTCACATCAATATGCTTGTTTTAGCTTTAAAAGGTTTTATTGCTCTGTGCACACCACATCCACAGAGGATCCAGCTGCATTTGATTCTGCCTCCTGCATCTTCAGCGAAAATTGCCAGCTAAATTGAGATCCCCGGATCTTCCTGTGTGATGGTTTGTGATGGAGCGCTGTGTTGGAAGAGCACAGCATGGCTTCTCTCCCTTCCCTTCCCTTCCCTTCCCCATCCCACCCCCCAGCAAAAAAAAGAAGTTACGGCAGATATTTTCGTTCAGGTGTTTTTAAGCTGATCAAATTTTCACACACAAGTTACTGGGGACAAAGTATCACGTGATTATTCTAGGCTAAGCAACTAAACGGCGTTTCCGTGTGCTGCGCTGGCTCGCCAGATGCAGCTTGTCACGCTGGCCACGTGACCCGGAAGTGTCTGCAGACAGCGCTGGCCCCTGGCCTCTTAAGCGAGATGGGCGCGCAACCCTAGAGTCGGACACGACTGGCCCGTATGGGCAGGGGTACCTTTACCTTTACCTTTAAGCAACTGATTCTGGGTGGCTTCTGTTTATAATAAATTTAGAGACATTTCTGAACTGTTTAATGTTTATAATCTGGGCATTATTAGTGACCCCGCTTGCTGGAGATTGAGTGAGAGAGGCCCCATAATAGTAAGACTCTCAGAGGCTACTAGCCACGATGGTTGTGCTTTGCCTCCACAGAATGCTTCTGAATACCAGTTGCTGGAAACTGCAGGAGGTTAGAGGGCTCTTGTTTTCGAGTCCTGCATGCGGGTTTCCCACAGCTACCTGGGTGGCCACTGTGGGACTGGATGCCCAACTGGCCTGATCCAACAGTCTCTTTTTATGTTCTCAGATGCTTAAGGATGCCACCTGAAGTGTATGCAAAGGGGCCAAGAAGTCCGCTTTTGATTTATGAGGGAGGCAGTTGAATGGCCTTCTCGGCCACAAGCTACAGGGAACCAGGCAGAGGGCCTTCTCGGTAGTGGCACCTGCCCTGTGGAACGCCCTCCCACCAGATGTCAAAGAGAACAACAGCTACCAGACTTTTAGAAGGCAGCCCTGTTTAGGGAAGCTTTTAATGTTTGATGCATTACTGTATTTTAATATTTTGTTGGAAGCCGCCCAGTGTGGCTGGGGAAGCCCATCCAGATGGGTGGGGTATTAATAATAATAATAATAATAATAATGGCCTGACTTGCTGTAAAGGAAGCTTCCTCCATTTCTGTTGAGGTCCGCATGGCTGGGAGCCAGTGCTATGCAAGTTTACTCATGAGGAATTCCACTGACCTAAGTCAGAGCCGTCTGCTCCATCTGGGCTGTGTAAAAGGGACTTGTCTCTCAAGCGGTTTGCAAGCTTCCATATGCAGATTCCACCTGCAATAAGCAGCTGGCAGATGGAAGTAAAATATTTAGTATTTTGCATATTGGTTAGATGTCTTGCAGGCTGTACCACGAAAAGGCAGCAAAAACTTATTTCATTTATTTTTCTCACATTTATCTTCCTGCTTTTTGTTTGTTTGTTCGTGGAACCCAAGGTGGTCTGCCATGAAACTGTGGTAGATCAGTCCATTAGTTTAGCTTTTAGGTATTTACATCCCTTCTATTTATTTATTGCCTGATTAATTCAAGATCTTCCCAAATTCAGTCTCTTTTCTCTCGATCCATTTCATTTGCCATCAGAATCCTCCCCAGATCCATAGATTGTCTCCAACAGACTTCTACTCAGAGTAGACACATTTAAATTAATGAACCTAAGTTGTCCGTGTCCATTAATTTCAATGGGTTTACTCTGAGTAAGACTAGAATAGAATACAACCCCAACTCTCTTCAGTTGACAATTCCCCCATTTTATTTATAACTGTCCAAATCACCCCCCAATTAATTGCACCAAATGAGACTTCTATAGAGCGGCAACCCTTATAATCACATTGCTTTCATTACCTAACAGAAATTGCTATTTTGTTTTATTTTCCACTTATGGCTAGTATTTTGATTCGTAAGAGTACAGAATGGCCACTGCCAAGAACCTTTAGAAATCTTCCCACATAGCAGGCTCATCTCACGCAGCCTCCTATCAGAACATCCTGTGTTTTTCAGCCTCATTTATGCGATAAACCACAAACTCTCCACCTCTGACTCTGTCCAACATCGAAGCTCCATGTTAGCAGTGAAAGTACATTGTCGGGTTGTTACTTTGTGCTTTACAGTGTGTAACATACGCACTTTGCTCACATCTCAGTGGCATTTTGTTACTACTATGTGCCCCCCTGCAATTATAGTCTTAACTACAGATGCAGTTATTGATTGATATATGGCTATGTTATAAGCCATGGTTTTTTTCCAGAAAGTACTCAACAGTACGCAGTACCGGCCTCTCTCTCTCTCTCTCTCTCTCTCTCTCTCTCTCTCTTTCTCTCTTTCTCTCTTTCTCTCTCTCTGTTAAAATGTGTGGCACTTACTGCAACAACTTCATGGTGAATACCAGCACCTTTTTTTTCTAGAAAAAGAAGCACTGGTAGTAAGTGAGCAGTAAACTATTTGGCCAATTTCCAGTTATAAATCTGGGGGAGCAGAGGAACTGCAGAACTATCCAACAATCCCTGTTGGTGGTAGAAATGACATTTCTAGGCTTTTATATTATTCATTTCACTTACACTTTTTGCAAAGCCTCCCAAAGAGATTTCCCAACAGGCACACATGAAAACAATTTCAAATCTACTCCAGATAACGGACCGGGATTAAAGAACTCCACTGGTTGAAAGGCTGGTTGAAAAAGGCAAGTCTTCAACAAATGCTGAAAACACAAGAGAGACGGTGTCTGTCTGATATGTAACGGGGAGGGAGTTCCAAAGTCTAGGTGCCGTCACACTAAAGACCGGCTTTTGACGTTGTGTGGAATGGACCCCCTGAAGAGATCATTTCTGCGGGAGGCCCTCACCTGCGGAGCACGGTGATCATTTTGGAATATAAGAGATGAAACTCTCTTTTAGGTGTCTACATGGACACATACTCTGGGAGCCAGGATCGACTGCACTCACTTGCTCAGGTTGCTGCTGCAAGGGAGAATAATTGCTGCCTTGGGCGAAGCAGCACACTCCATCTTTCCCAACTGCAAGTGGGCAGCCAGGCGAGCACGTCCTCTGAGCCTGACCCAACACAAACCTAGGCATGAAGTGAAACCTGATGGGACAATGGCTGCTGCTCTTTTGCAATTCTCTGCTCCATCACTAGAAGAAGAAGAAGAGTTTGGATTTGATATCCCGCCTTTCACTCCCTTTAAGGAATCTCAAAGCGGCTAACATTCTCCTTTCCCTTCCTCCCCACAACAAACACTCTGTGAGGTGAGTGGGGCTGAGAGACTTCAAAGAATTGTGACTGGCCCAAGGTCACCCAGCAGCTGCATGTGGAGGAGCGGAGACGCGAACCCGGTTCCCCAGATAACGAGACTACCGCTCTTAACCACTACACCATACTGGCTCTCCTCCTGTGCCTTTTCGTCTCCTGGCCGTCTCCAGTGATGGGTAACTAGTTCTGCCACTTTCATTAACACCAGCAGGAAGGAAGCACCAGCACAGCAGTCAGGCATCGTTCTCCCACCACCACATACACAATCCGAAAGAGCAAAAGCTACCCCACTGAGACAGATTATGGGCTTTGGTCATCTCTAGACTGTTGCAATTTTGCAGGAGGGATTCAGTCACATGCAGGAAGTTTAGGTTTCCTCTGTTAAAGTGGATTAAAGCACCCTGGGAATGACAAATCCACGTCTTCTATCTGAAAAAAAAAAACCCCAGATTCTTTGCAGTTAGGAAGACGACAGGGAAATGCAGTAAAACGTGCTGGATAATGAAAGATTGACAGGAAGTCGCATAAACAAGCAATTCAAGATGAATGTTCATTAAATAGCGGATTTTTTTTGCAGGCAGGACAAAATCGCAACCCAGATATTTGGGCATTCTGGTCTCATGCAAGGGAAGGATGCAAGTTGCAGCGTATCTTAGTGAGGTGGTGGCCAGTGTGGCAGAGCCATGTCTGTCAAGGTCGTGTTTCAGTAGGTAACACAAAGCTAAGGTTGGACCAATTGAAGCCTCCATCGGCAACATCCAGAGCCAGCAGGTAGAAGAGCAGGAATAGGCTAAACTAGACAGAGCCGATCAGGACCTCGGACAGCTCACTGCTGAAGGAAGACCTGATGTTTCAGCAAGATGCAAAGCCTTTCTGAAAATTGGGAAAATTGGCCAGGCAGTTAAGCGATACAGTGGTACCTCCGGTTGCGGACGGATCCATTCCGGAGCTCCGGTTGGATCCCGGGGTTTCTGCAACCGGAGCGACCGCTTCTGCACATGCACGCACGGCAGCAGACCGCTTGTGCGCACTTCCAGGTTTGCTGCTTTTGCAACCCGAAGTTTATGTTACCCAAGGGTAACATAAGCAGAGGTGCTACTGTATTGACTTGGTCCCTGCTGGGATGGTAAAAAGGTAAAGGGACCCCTGACCATTAGGTCCAGTCGTGGTCGACTCTGGGGTTGCGGTGCTCATCTCGATTTATTGGCCGAGGGAGCCGGCGTATAGCTTCCGGGTCATGTGGCCAGCATGACTAAGCCGCTTCTGGCGAACCAGAGCAGCGCACGGAAACGCCGTTTACCTTCCCGCCAGAGCAGTACCTATTAATCTTCTTGCACTTTGACGTTCTTTCGAACTGCTAGGTTGGCAGGAGCAGGGACTGAGCAACGGGAACTCCCCCCGTTGCGGGGATTCGAACCGCCAACCTTCTGATTGGCAAGCCCTAGGCTCTGTGGTTTAACCCACAGCGCCATCCATGTCCCTTATTGACTTGGTCCCTGCTGGGATGGTACTTGGGATTTTAAAGGTCCTTTGTCTTATTCTTTTTATTCTTTTGCATTTTGTAATGTTGTTTTTAAATGTTGTAAGCTGCCTGGGAGAAAGGTGGGATATAAATACATTAAAGAATAGTAAGTTCAGTCGTACCTTGGATCCCAAATGCCTTGTGACTCAAACGTTTTGGCTCCCGAACACCGCAGACCCGGAAGTGAGTGTTCCGGTTTGCTAACGTTCTTTGGAACCCGAATGTCTGACGTGGTTTCCGCGGCTTCCGATTGAGTGCAGGAAGCTCCTGCAGCCAATCGGAAGCTGTGCCTTGGTTGTCAAACATTTTCGGAAGTCGAATGGACTTCCGGAACGGATTCCATTTGGCAACCAAGGTGCGACTGTAATCATAATTCAAATATAGCTAATAATGATCAGAAGAAAGCAATGTGTTCTGGTCAGGGTCATCTTCCGAGCTGTTTTTGGGCTGTGGGGGTTTCAGAGCTTCCATAAATGTGGAGGGGGCTGAGAACCATGTGTAACACTTTGTGCACCTTGATTTTCTTTTTTAGAAAATCAATAAATACCAAGCCCAGTTGGCTCTTTAGTTGTACATTTTAAAATCATGTTATTGTAACTTTAGTGTAATTATCGTAGCAATCTCCTCTTGATTTCCCCATGAAAGCAACAAGGCTAAAGTGCTAGCTGTGATGGACTGCAGTTGATAAAGTCAGCCACAAATGGGCTGAGGTGCCAATATCAGTTGGAAGAGCTGAGCTGGGCTTAAATGAAGCATGGTGATTATTTTCACAGCGGTGGGTAGAATAATAATCTTTGCGGGGGGCGGGGCGGGGAAGGTAGTTAAGTGGATGCCTATGTCATTGCTGTCTAAGGAGATGCACTAAATTCACAATCGCTCCTGTAATATAGTAGATTAAAATTCTGGGAATAGTTAAGCTGCTCAAAGGTCAGCATGCCAAAAAATAAATGGACTGTTGGTGAAGCTCACAGTCACTTAAGAATTTTAGCATAAGAATTTGTTGCTGCTTACCTTTTGTAGTTGTATTTCCACGGTGTTTACCTCACTGTGAAAAGCTTTGAGCGAGGCAAGCTGATACAATTAATTTGTGGGTCAGCTGTGTTTCCATGCTGCAAAATGCTTTTAAAATAAGGGTTCTTGTACATTTGCCTAATTTGATCCAATCTGCTATTGTTACTGTACACAGTATATATATAGAAGGGGGGGAATATGAGTTTGGTTTTTTAAAAGGTGCTAGGCAGCTGCGTTATACTGACTGAGACCATTGGTCCATCTGCCTCAGTATTATCTACATTGGCTCACCTTGTTTTGCTTATTGCACTCATAGCTTATTGCACTCAGCTATGGACTTTGCCTATGTGAGTGGTGCCCAGGAACAGTTCACTGTGGGAGCATGTATTCACAGGTGACTCCCCACTTTTCGGGCTTACATTCCGGGGGCCCGTGCACATAAGTGTAATCGCGTAAAGTAAACACCCTTTAAACAGCCTCTCTGTCACTTTGCCTTTAATCCATACCAAAAATACTGTATCCAAAAATGTCCACAACTAGAATTGAAGCTCTGGGCCTGGCAGGAGGCTGGAGGATGCTCAGGAAAGCAGCAGCAGCTGCTGCTGCGCTACCCCACATGACAGCTGTTAGGTGGAGAGGCTGAGCAGCACAAACAAATACCACTCCAGTCACTTTGGAGCGTCCTCTACCCTCACTGATGTCCTCTTCAGGCTCCCCACAAGCCTCAAGGACTCTCCAGCTCTCGCTCTCTCTCCCACCATTTCCGGGTTTGAACTGAATTATCTAATTATTTTCCGGTGCCCCGCATATACGTGGTTGTGTGCAAGTAGAACAAGTGTAAATGAGGGGTGTCTGTATTTATTTTTATCTGTATCTGGCATTTTGATCAAGAAAAGATTGCCCCACAGACTCACACACATTTACACCAGGAGGTGCTTTTTTAAAAAAATTATTTATTTTTTTGACAAAGTAATAATCATAAATAAATAAGAATAAAAATTTGCACCCCCACCACTGAGACCATTCCATTGTAACTATCAAACCTCCCAAAATGTCAACACCTCTTGCAATGGTTTGACCCCTTTCCATTTTAACAGTACAAATTCTACAGACACCCTCCATATCTCCTCATAATCATTTCTCCTGCATATTCCCCATCTTACCTTAATGGCAAATGCTAATTTATCATTAATAGCTATATCCCACACCTCTTTATACCATTCTTCCATTTTATATTCTGCTTACCCCTTCCACTTCCCAGCTATAATAATTCATGCAGCTGTCAATAAATTTGTGAGCAAGTCCTTCATAGCCTGTGAACCTTCCACCCCATCGTAAAGTGATAATAATGCTACCTCTGGATTTTCAGTCAGCTTTAACCCAGTGACCAGGAGGCTTTTGCAAAAACGAAATGAAAAGACAAGTGAGACCTTCAACAAAATGTTGCAGCATGAAGTGCTCTTGTACAGTGTGCCAGCCCAGCCTGCCCTCTTCTGGGCCCTGAACAATAGCCCTCCACACCGCAACATTTTGTATACAGTGGACGCTCAGGTTGCGATCGTGATCCGTGCGGGAGGCATGTTCGCAACCCGCAGCATTCGCAACCCGCAGTGCCGCATCTGTGCACACACGGGTCATGATTTGGTGCTTCTGCGCATGCGTGAGTGCTGAAACCCGGAAGTAACCCATTCCAGTATTTCCGGGTTCGGCGCAGTGCGCAACCCGAAAACACACAACCTGAAGCATCTGTAACCCAAGATATGACTGTATTCTAAAACTGACGTGTGGATTTTCTCCACTGCTTCTCATCTTTTCCTTTTTCTGGAAGGACATTTTTATCCCACTTAAAGCATAAGAAACCTCCCTTGATACCATTTTTTGTTCTAGGGTATCCCCTCTTGTTTCACATCTCACAGTGATAAATCAGCTTGTTGAAAGCAACAACTTCACATTATACTGCAGTTTGGCACAGCCTAATCATTTGCCTGTATGGGAGTCGGGCAGCCACTTCACCTAGTTTTCTCTGCTCAGGAAATTCTGAAGGCAGGGAAGCACTCCATCAGGTGGCCCACTGACACACCACCTGCAGTCTGAAGGGAGGCAGCTGAGGCACAGGTATACTCACCTCCAGGAAAACTAGGTCAAAGTCAGAAGAAAAACAAAGCACCACTGGGTATCTCCTTCTAGGCCAGAGGTGGGGAACTTGTGTCCCTCCAGATGTTTCTGAACTATCACTTCCCATCAGCCCCAGCAAGGATGGCTATGGGGCAAGGATGATGGACGTCATCGTTCAGCAATAGCTGGAGGGCCACAGATTCCCTGACTGACAAGGGAAAAGGCCATGGAGGCTCACCAATTTGTAGTGTAAGTAACATCCAAACTGCCATGGCAGTGTGATCTGGTCCAGGGGTGAAGGAGGTGGATTGGGTGCTCCTGGTAGATTTACAGTAAAAACATAAGAAGAGATCGTCCAAAAACTCATCTTGTCCAGCATCCTGTTCTCACAGTCAGGTGCCAATGCAAGCAGGATCCAAGCACAGCAACATTCTCTCCTCTATTCCCAATGACTGGTATTCTTAGGCCTGCTGCCTACAGAAATGGAGGCAGAGCATAACAATTGTGGCTAGTAGTCATTGATAGCCTTCATTGTGTGGCGAATTCCTGTTTCCCCCCACTGGATAATAAAGACACGTGACACCATGATTTTAGGTTAATGGGCGAAAATTGGCCACAACTTTATTGGTTACAGAAATGAGCGGTATTGGCTTAGGCATTGGTCCTATCGACTATCTGGCTTCAGCCCAGATGCATGAAGACCGGAAAGGGTTAACCGCCAGAAGGGGGAGTCCTGCTGAGGTACGTCAACTAGGAGCTTCCCCTGGGTCACCGCTCGGGGGCGTGCCTTAGGCCCACATCTCCATAGGCTTCGGACAGGGCAACGCCCCCCCGGAATCCTTTACCGGACTACCCTTGGTGTGGGGGAAGGCGATGGCGCTTCCTCCCCCCCTCTCATCTACATAACAATACCCTTACCAATACCTAACCACCACTTGAGCAAGAGCTTGCCGCCAATACCCTCAGCCCTGCAACCAATCCCTAATCCCCAAAGATGTGTCGTGCAACCAAATATCGTTTCCAGCATCTGAAAGATGCACGCCATCATTTCGGTAGAGGGCAAATTTCCGCACTTAGCATGTGCTCAGATAGATACTTATTCTTAATGGGAAGCCACCCACCTGAGCCAATAACTTCCACCAGTCACTGGACCTTAGGGTCCCAGTTCAAACAAACAAATAAACAGCGTAGCTCCCGTAAGTCATCACCCCTCGTGTAGTATTTGACCAAGGAGACCTGGTTTTGAATTCCCACTCAGCCATATGAAGCACAGCTGGGTGAACTTGGGCAAGCAGTTATCTCCCTGTCTGATCCACCTTATAGGGTGCTGTGAGGATAAAACACAGGGAGCCATGAACCTTGCCTTGAGCTCCTTGCAGGAAAGGGAGGGTATAACTGAAATATATGTTGTTTTTATTCATAGTCCGCCTCGCATCTAGAGAACGTTGAGTGGCATGCATGGTTTGCACATGTGGCATTTAACTGTGAGGTAGGGCAGGCTGAAAGATTGTGACTGGCCTGAGGTCACCCAGTGAGCATTGCAGCTGATGCAGAGAATTGAACTTCAGTCTCCTTAGTCTGACCCTCTCCAGCAGCTACATCAGGGAGTAGGGACCTAAGGCCCTCCAGATGTTGAACTCCAGCTCCTGTCAGCCACAGCCAGCATGCCTAGTGGTCAGGGTTGATATAAGCTGCACTCCAAGTTTCTGGAGAGGGCTAAGGGCTCCCCACCCCTACGGTGCACCATGCTAGCTCCTTGACAGCCTTGCTTCTCTGTTAGAATGATCTGTGGGAAACAAGTCTGCAGTGGTTTCTTTCCCCCAGAGATGAGAGGGTACTTGTCCATTCAGGACCAGTTCCACTTTGCTAAAACTCTAGCTAATACCTACCTGCCCCCACAGAGACTAGCAGAGCTGCAAGAGGGATCTGTCAACTGATGCATTATAAATGGCTCCTCTTTCTGTACTTGCGTCCTCTGCAGCAGGCACGGCCAAGGTCAGTTAAACACTGGATTTATTAGCAAATGGATTAGCACTTTGAGAGAATAGTCTGCCAATGTTGCCTCTGCTGACCACAGCAAGCTGGGGTGAAGGCAGCCTCGCTCCTCTCCTTGCGTGGAAGCAGGATCTTCAGCAGGAGACAGGGAATTTGTTTTTAAAAAGGCCCTCTGTCTTTCTGGCCACTTTATAAAGAAGGAGAGGAGAGTTTTCTGCCCCAAAGGCTGATTTGTTAAAGCAAATGGAGAACTGCTCAATCTGCCCTCAGCCAGCTCCTCTTCTCCCCACCTTCCACATTATAACAAGTCCGGGGACTGGCACTGCCTACGAGTACCTTAGTCTCCTGGTAGAACTCAGCAAGGAGGAGGGACTTAGAGGTGACTGGTTCTGCCTGTCATTGGCTCTGGCTCTTAATTGGCTCCCTGCCTTCTCCCCCACCAGTCCCAGTGGGCACCGGCCAGCACTCCCCAAGGGGTTTGCCGTCTAAGAAGAGATGATCTGTAGACAGCAGAGGAAGGGAAATGGAAATGAAGGCAGGGTTTAAAATTATTAGTTGTGTTATTACTTGGCGCAGTGGTTACAGTGCTGGATTAGGACCTGGGAGACCAGGGTTCAAATCCCCATTGAGCCACAAAGCCCCCTGAGTGACTTAGGGGCAGTCACTGTCTCTCAACTTAACCTACCTTTAGGGTTAAAATGGAGAGGGAGATGAGTGCTTACACCACCTTGCGCTGTTTGGAGAAAAAAGGTGGGATGCAGATGTAGTTTATGGAATTGTAGAGTTGGAAGGGACCCTGAGGATCATATAGTCCAAACCTCTGTAATGCAGGCATGTGCAGAATAATAATAATAATAATAATAATAATAATATTTATTTATACCCCACCGTCCATCTGGCTGGGTTTCCCAAGCTACTCTGGGCAGCTTCCAACACAATATTGAAATACAGTAGTCCATCAAACATTAAAAGCTTCCCTAAACAGGGCTGCCTTCAGATGTCTTCTAAAAGTCTGGTAGTCGTTCTTCTCTTTGACATCTGGTGGGAGGGCATTCCACAGGGCGGGCGCCACTACCGAGAAGGCCCTCTACCTGGTTCCCTGTAACTTAGCTTCTCGCAGTGAGGGAACCGCCAGAAGGCCCTCGGTGCTGGACCTCAGTGTCCGGGCAGAACAATGGGGGTGGAGACGCTCCTTCAGCACCACGCTCTAACCGACTAAGCTATATGCAATAATAGATATCATCATCATCATTATCATCATTGTTACTTTTTTAATTTGTTAGTTGCTTTTCTTACAAAGTAACTCAAAGCAACTTACATTAGAGCCTATTGAAAGTAACAATAAAAGCCTCAAAGTACAGCAATACAATTGAAGGGCTTAAAGCTAAACAAATGGAAGGCTAAAAACACAGATAACAAAAAAAGGGGGGCAGGACTACAGGTCCTCCCCACTAAAAGAGGTCACAGTGCCAGCCTTCAAATTAAGGGTTAAAAGCCCAGGAAATAAGAAAAATCTGCCTGGCGCTTAAAGCGAAGAACAAGGGTTGCATTGAACCGAGTTCTACTCAGTTAATGGACCTAAGTCATGTTATTTAATTTCAGTGGGTCTGCTCTGAGTATGACTAACATGTGGTTTACGCATGCTTAGGCTTAGTTAGAGCAGCATCCCTAGCAGATTGTTCTCAGAAGATCTGAGAAAGTTTGCAGCCAGCATTGCAAGCCAACAGGCACCGTAAGGTATCCTTGTCCATGCCAGCTATTCCTTCCCTGTGGTCTCCCACCACTTCCTTACCGAAGGAGATGGCCCTGCATTATCCTTCAATCTGTGACTGCAGAAATATGTATGACGTCCCCTTCAGATGTGGCTGAACTCCACCTTCCACCATCCCTATCCATTGGTCATGCTGGCTGAGGTTGATGGGCCTTGGAGTCCAACATATAGAGAAGGTCACAGGATTTGCACATCCTGATGTACTGCAAAACTATACACCTCTCCAGCTTAGACTCTCTTCTAAGAGAGGGAGAATACTGAGTTTTCTCATTATATAAAGCCTGTTATTTAGTGTTGTGTGCTTTTCCTCCAACACATCTGCAAGGAGGAACTCAGAGGCTTTCATTTTTGTTTTCAACTAACTGTGGCTTGTTGTTATGTCTGAACCAGGTTAGTCTTCAAATGCTTTCGAGAAGCAAGCTAGCTTTGAATTGTGATTTTTGATCCTGTCTTATGACCCGCATGTGGGTCCCAGCCCATGAACTGAAGACCGACAGGTTTTCGTGCAAATGCCATTACATATTTATGGAACCTTTCCTGAGTTACTCCTGCCAAGCCTGGGCATGTCAAATAAAATAATCTCTTTTTTTGAAAATGGCAGATCAAATGCTCCGATGGTTTGCTCAGCTTTTCACGGTTTGTTGCAGTGTACCTTTCCAGATTATTGTATTTTTTAATTGGTATTTTTTGGGGGGTTGGGCTTTTGATAATCAAGTTCTTTGCATAATGAGAGTGGCAGATGTCAAAAGGTTAGGAGGGAGCCAGAACTGGTAGAAATCCTGCAGAAATAATGTCTAATCCTTTTGGTTTGTAGGGACACCTTGGCGGGAGGCACAAATACAGGACTTGAAAAGCACCCTGAAGGGTGTCAGCAGCGACATCCCCCTAGTCTTCGTCAGTGGCAACCACGACCTTGGGAACACGCCAACTCCTGAAACAATTGAAGATTATTGCCAAAAGTGGGGTGACGATTACTTCAGCTTCTGGGTCGGAGGGGTCTTCTTCCTTGTGCTGAACTCTCAGCTGTATTTTGATGCTTCCAAGTGCTTGGAATTAAAGCAGGCCCAGGATGAGTGGCTCCAGCAGCAGCTTGCAATGGCCGAAGCGAGAAAGTGCCGCCACGCTGTCGTCTTCCAGCACATCCCTCTGTTTCTGAGAGAACCCGATGAAGACCACGACTACTTCAACCTGGAGAAGTCCATTCGGCACGAGCTCCTGGAGAAGTTCCGCAAAGCAGGTACGGGGTTCCTTCGTAGATCAGAGAGAGGCTTGGTCCGCGGCGAGGCAGTCGGTCAGACCAGTTCTGGGCTTAGAGGACCACTTCAGTCTGCAGGGGGAAGATGGGGGTGGGCCAATATGCAGCTGCAGCTGATGGGGTGGCAGCGCTTACCTCCCATCAACAGCATCGCTGCAGTTTACCAGGAGGTGTGAGGCTGCTGTGGTGCAAACACACCAGCAGAACCAATCTGGTTGCAGCAGAACCCTTCTTGTAAGCTGCAGTGATACCAATGACAGAAGCTCAGATAAACATCAGTACTCTGCCCCAGCACTCTGCCCTACTTTGTTAGAAAAGCTGCTAACATGTTTGTTGTTGCTGTTGCTGCTGCTGCTGCTGCAGCTGCTATTATTTACCATATTTTTCGCTCTATAAGATGCACTTTCTCCCTCCTAAAAAGTAAGGGGAAATGTGTGTGTGTCTTATGGAGCGAATGCAGGCTTCGTGGGCTATCCCAGAAGCCAGAACAGCGAGAGGGAGCGCTGTGCTGTTCTAGCTTCTGGCTTAGCCGCGTGAAGCCTCCGCAGGGGAGCCTTCATCCCACTGCCCTGCGGAGGCTTCATGCAGCTATCCCTGGCTTTTGCGGGAGGTGGGGGAAGGGACAGAGCGCGCGGCTCTGTCCCTTCCTCCACCTCCCAGAAAAGCCCCCAAGAGCCACGCTCCCTTTAAAGAGCGCGCGGCTCTTGCAGGAGGTCGGGGGAAAGCCAGGAGGCTTGCTTTCGCTGAAGCCAGGAGAGCAAGCGGGATCAGTACGCACCGATCCCGCTTGCTCTCCTGGCTTCAGAGATAGCACCGCAAAGCCTCCTGAGCAAAGAGGGAGGAGCGCTCCCTCTTCGCTCAGGAGGCTTCTTATTTCTTGTTTTCCTCCCCTAAAAACTAGGTGCGTCTTATGGTCAGGTGCGTCTTATAGAGCGAAAAATACGGTGAACCCCTATCTCCATTTCCATTCCCCTTCCTCTGCCATCTCCCATGCACTTATTCTTAGTTTGATCATAACCCCCTTGGGCAGTGGAGATTGGTGCGGCAGAAGGCAAGGAGCCCATTACTGGGTGGAGCCAGAGCCAATGACACTGCATGCTGGGGTCACTGGGGCGGGGATTATGTGTGCGCCCACTTAACACCCCCTCCACACAGAATGCGGACATGCATTCTTCTGAACACCTGAAAAGGGCTTCACTTGGTCTGCATACGACCCCATCTGCATGCATGTAATACATTTGTAAACAGGACTGCTTGGTACAGAACAAATAGCTTGCTGAATAGGATATCTCTTTCCCATTCAGTTAAGTATTCTTATTAATTAAGCCAAACAGAGAGAGGGCTGCTAGGCAGCTCACCGTACAATAGCGTAACTAAGTTTGCTATGAAATAATCCCTGATTCAGAAACTGTGAGCTCTGCATAGCTCAGTTTCCTTAGTAACAGAGCTGTTCTGTTTCCTTAAAAAAAACAACTTGAAGAACCTTCTTTGCAGGATGTTGTCAGTCAAGTATAATACACTCTTTCTTTCTTTCTTTCTTTCTTTCTTTCTTTCTCTCTCTCTCTCTCTCTCTCTCTCTCTCTCTCTCTCTTTCTCTCTTTCTCCTCCACCACCCTCTCATCTCATACTTTGCCCACAAATAATCAATTTGAACACATCTTTCATTATGATAGTCAGATGATAAATAATGAAATCAGCCTGTTCTTGCATGTTTTGTATTAATCATCATCACGTTTGGCTTTTGCAGTCTAAGAAGGTTAACCTTCTAATCACTTAATATTAATTCCAATTTTTCATATACAAACTGGAGAAAATTAGACTGGTTATTTTATTTTTAAAAATGAAATATTCTTCTTTCCCCTTCTATTTGCTTTTTTCTGTCTTCTCCCCTGCAGTACAAGGGCATTTGGAATTATTGGGGGGGGGGGGGTGGCGTGGAACACAACCCTCTGCTACAACAGTAATTTTAGTAAAGGTTGGCAAGGCATCTTGTATTTAGACAAGCAGCTATTTTTTAGTCAACTCTGAATTTCTGCAACTCCATTAAAGCCCATATAATGACAAAGCAAAATTATGCCTTTTTTAAACCAATAAGTAATTTAAAATATTGCAGCTAAGTAGTCCCATTCAACATATTTCAAACAAAGATGTTGTTAGGACTAGATCTTCAGAGCAAAACTCTTACTTTGTTCTTCACGAACACAAAATAAAAACCTATCTTAATTTTGGAAAAGCTCGTTGCTTGTAGCAAGTGCTGAATTCAAAAGTCCTTGAGTCCTTCGAGAGATCAAGAGAGCCAGGGTTCTGTAGTATAGTGGTCCCTCAGGTTGCCTATGCTTCAGGTTACATACGCTTCAGGTTACAGACTCCGCTAACCCAGAAATAGTGCTTCAGGTTAAGAACTTTGCTTCAGGATGAGAACAGAAATCGTGCTTCGGCGGCGTGGCAGCAGCAGGAGGCTGCATTAGCTAAAGTGGTGCTTCAGGTTAAGAACAGTTTCAGGTTAAGTACGGACCTCCGGAACGAATAAGTACTTAACCTGAGGTACCACTGTACCTGAAGTGTCAAACTAAGATCTGGGAGGCCAGAATTCAGATAACACCATGAAGTCCACTGAGTGATCTTGGGCCACCTCTCACCCTAACCTACCTCCACAGAGTTCTTTGGGGGATTAAAAAAGGGGGGGGGGAGAACTGTGTATGCCGCCTTGAGCTCCTTTCAAGGTGGGGGGAGGTGATATATAAATGCAATAAAGAAATAAAGTCTTGTTTCTGCAAGTTCTTGCTGTATAGAATGCCTTTAGAAGACAAACAGTCATTTCCAGGTAAGCTGATCTGTTCAGATGCTTCCTCTACACACACACACACACACACACACACACAATAAACAGTTATTCCCAGCTGGAGGCAGCATAATTTTGTTTTGCTTGGCTCAAGATCCTTACTCCTGTCCATGATGAAAAATGTTCAACCCCTCATTATTACATTTCTAGGATGACAAACACCTGCTTGCTTTATATGTTCCAACTCTTCTCTGTTCACCAGGAACAGTCACTATTTTCTGTTTCTTGTCCCTGTATTTTGCCTTTTCGAGAGAAACAAGATTCCGGTTCCTAAAAGATGATTACTCTCTCGTCATCTCCTCAGAGCAGGGTCTCACGCTGTCTTGTGGTTCCTCTACAAAAGCACTGCCCACATTAATGTCACTGCGGAAATGAGAGGATTGTTTTAGGGAATGGCTAGGTTCTTTGGTGCCCCACCTCAGAATCCTACACAGAGCGAGGGTGTTCGACATCTTGGCCTCCCATGCCCCTTCCAATTTTGTGGGCAGGATTCTCAGTCCTTGAGTGATTTTCCCTGGCTGGAGTATGTTTTTGAACTCTGATTGTTGTTGTTGTTGTTTAGTCATTTAGTCGTGTCTGACTCTTCGTGACTCCATGGACCAGAGCATGCCAGGCACTCCTGTCTTCCACTGCCTCCCCCAGTTTGGTCAGACTCATGTTGGTAGCTGCGAGAACACTGTCCAACCATCTTGTCCTCTGTCGTCCCCTTCTCCTTGTGCCCTCCATCTTTCCCAACATCAGGGTCTTTTCCAGGGAGTCTTCTCTTCTCATGAGGTGGCCAAAGTATTGGAGCCTCAGCTTCAGGATCTGTCCTTCCAGTGAGCACTCAGGGCTGATTTCCTTCAGAATGGATCGGTTTGATCTTCTTGCAGTCCATGGGACTCTCAAGAGTCTCCTCCAGCACCATAATTCAAAAGCATCAATTCTTCGACGATCAGCCTTCTTTATGGTCCAGCTCTCACTTCCATACATCACTACTGGGAAAACCATAGCTTTTACTATACGGACCTTTGTGAACTCTGATTACACTTCCTTAAATGGAGGACATTGGGGTGAGTTTGTGTAGAAACTACTGTACAACGGCCCTCCACAACTTTGGAACTCCCTGCCTATTGATATCAGACAGGCAACTTTATTGCTTTTTTTTTTCGGAGCCTGCTAAAAACGTTTTTGTTTAGGCAAGCCTAATCAGATATCTAGAAAGTTGATGTGTTTTTAGTTTATTGCTGCTTTTAATTTTTTGAACATGTTGGTGTGTGTTTTTTTAACTAATAATGTCATTGTTTTATTCTTTTTTGCAATCAAGCAGCATATAGATTTTATGAAATAAAATGGTTCCTCACCACTGTTTGATCCAGTGTGTGGGGAAAGAAGCCATTTTTCATTTGTGCCTTCCTCTGCTTCGTTATTAGCCTTTATTATAAGTCTGTTTTAGAGTATTATTTGTTGGTTGGTTGGTCAAATGTATGATCCCACCCTTCCATCCAAAGGAGCCCAGGGTAGCAAACACGCAAGCGATAAAATATCTAAACCTCTTAGAAAAACGGTTCCGATACAGGTGCAAACTGGGAATGATCCCTACTTTGAAAGACTGGTTGAAAGAGGTAGGTGTACAGCAGGCATCCAAAAAGACAACAGAGGTGGGCACCAGTCTAATATGCAGCAGCAGGGAGTTCCAAAGGGTAGGTGCCACCATGCTGGAGACCCAAATTTCTCCATAGTGCAGATCAGACCTTCTGATAGATGGTACCTGCAAGAGGCCCTCCCACCAAGCGCATTGACCAATTGGATATATTGGGTAGGACCCAAGCCAATAGGAGAGCCAATTTATAGCTGAGCAAATCAGTAATCCAGTGTTGCTTCTTTCCATTGCATTGTCATTCCTTTCCTGAAGTACAGTGCTACCTTGGTTTAAGAACAGCTTAGATTATGAACAACTTGAATTAAGAACCCTGCAAACCCAGAAGTAGGTGTTTTGGTTTGTGAACTTTGCCTTGGAAGCAGAACATGTTCTGCTTCCTCTTGAGTGTGTTCCATTTGTAAATTGAGTCCCCCGCTGCTATGGGAAAACACACCTTGGTTTAAGAATGCTTTGGTTTAAGAACAGACAAAGATTAAGTTCGTAAACCAAGGTACCACTGTATTACATAACTCAGAAGACGATACCTCTTCCTTTCTAATCCAGAAACCATTGTGTATTACATCAGCCTTTTTATTCTTTCATTCGCATTTGGAAACTTACTTTTCCATTCCCCCCCTTAAGATTTGTTTGGTGTTACTCTGTTTTAGCAGTTCCATGTGAGCAACATGTGCGCTTGTTTGTTTTGATTTGATTTCGGTATTCCGTTCGTTGTAAGCCATCGAGCTAAAACTCAAGCCCCAGAAGCTGCATCTGGTGTTAAGCGCTGAATTCAATTTCTCACTTCAGAAGTGTCCTTAACAGTTGGGCTAATTAAAGATAAAATGGTGTCCTTATCATAAATATTTATGAATTGAAAATCTGGCACTTTTTTAATTTCACCAAGTTAAGCCATGACGATAAGCTTGTGTTACCAAATGAAAATGTCAACTTCATTGTAGTTTTACGAGCAGGGTGGATGAAATCTGTTGAAGAAGCTGGTCCCCTTTGTTGTTTTGACTCAGGTGCTTTTTAGAGCAGAACCAGGCCATGTGTTTAAATCATATCTAACACATAAAGCTCACGACTTCCATCAAAGAATCCTGAGAACTGTAGTTTGTTAAGAGTGCTGGGAACTGTAGCTCTAAGTGGGGGAACTATGGTTCCCATGATTCTTGGGGGGGGGGTGTTGTGTGCTTTAAATGTGCATTGGATGTGGATCTGCCAACATGGAAACCCTAAGATCAGGGGCTGAGAACCTCTTTTTGTGTGTCAAGGGCCACTTTAGCTCATGGACAGTCTGTTAAGGGCCACATGCCAGCATGGGGTGGGTGATGGAGAGATCCAGAGACTAGGTGTTGGATCCAGCTCTGGTCAAGCCGCGTTCTGCTTGTGCAACAGGACTTACCCTTCCTTTCCTCTCCCTGTGGACCCCCCAAATCAGGCAGAAGTGCCAAAGTATCGCCCAAACCCCCAAAACAGATTTTAAGGGGCCAAGGGAGGAAGGAAGTATGTTGTCCAATGGCAGCATGGGATACAGCCCAAAATTTTTAATGTTTAATGCTGTATTGTGTTTTTAATATTCAGTTGGGAGCCACCCAGAGTGGCTGGGGAAACCCAGCCAGATGGGCATGGTATAAATAATATATTATTATTATTATTATTATTATTATTTGTTGTTGTTGTTGTTTGAAGTAATTAAACTGTGGTTTAGGTTGTTGCCTGAATTGAGCTTTTGCCTTTGAAATGCATCTACAGTGGGCAGAATTTATAGCTTTAGCCTTCAAGTAAGCGATCTCACTTAGTACCCTTGAATGCTACAGAGAGAGAGAGAGAGAGAGATCAGTCTCTTATCTCACAGCAGATGTAGTTCTGCACTGCAAAAGCCACATGGGCTGTGTGGCCAGTGGTTTCAGATTATGCCCCCAGGTTGTCCTTGAGGCCCTGTTTAGTTGCAAAACAATGCTTTTAATCATCATAGCAACCAGGCAAAATGCATCCTTTTATCCGGGAAACATGAATCTCTACAAGGAAAACTTCAGTGAAACCCTTGGTGGTTTTGTAATGGATAGCTTTAATTTCCACCATATAAATCGAACCACCATAGTCATCCTGGTGTGGTAAACAACAGCTGTCAGGGGCGGTGTGATTGTTATTTGCCATCAATAGGCCCGTGGCCCTTTCCTCTATGAGGGAAGGGTGCAACAGTTAGGTCTTTTCACTTTAGTAATAGAGGCACAGCAGAGGCGTCTAAGATTATGCATGCTGAAGAGGAAGATATAGAGACATTTTTCTCCCCTCTGTCGTAGTAACTAGAACTCGGGGCCGCCCAGTGAAGCGGAATGTGAAAAATTCAGGCCAAGGCGGAAGAAAACAGTTTTCCATTCAGTACATAGTTCATCTTTCAAACTCGCTCCCACACGAGGCAGTGATAGCCCTGAACATGGATGCATTGAAAACGGATTAGACAAAGTTGTGCATGATAAGACTATGAAAGACTATGTTTCCCTCCATTGTTGGAGGCAGCATGCCTCTGAATATGTGGGAACCACGCGTAGAGAGAGCGGTGTTGCGCTCAGGTGATGCTAGCGGGCTTGCCGTGCCTCTTGGCTGCTTAGAGGGAGGGGTGAATCGTAGAAGCTAGCCTACTGTGAAAGGTAAACTTTTACCTACGGTGAAAGGTAAAAATTACATTTGTTGCTTCACCTGCTTTGGCCTGTGACCCTTCCTGCCACTGGCATGTGGTTCCCAGAAGGTTTCCCAGATGGAAATGTGGCCCTCGGTCTGGGAAGAAAATAGTCCTCGTCCTCCCCCCTGCAAGCCTCTGATGACTGCCACATCAAAATGGATGGGGTATGGATGGATGCATCTAGACAAAGGCACGATGTTGGTCTCTGAGCATGTGGCGGCTCTTCTGCCAGAACACTGCCCTGGCTTCTCTCTCCCCCCTCCCCATCAAGTCTGCAGGAACCACCTTGGCACTGTGCTCGTTTTCCCCTCACGCAGCTACCTTTTTACATCTGCCGCTCATTGCCTCAGCGCAGGCTTAGCAGATTGCTGGTTTGGGCCCTGCAGGGAGGGAGGCAAAGTGTTCTCACTTCTCACTGGCAACGAGAGAGAAATCAATTTCGTTCCACAGAAGGTAGAATATGGAGGGCCAGATCTGCGCAGCGCCATCGGTTGCCCCACTGCTCTGAAATAGCAGCAGAGAATCACAGCAGGCTGTTGCTGTGGACTTTCCTGGATAAACCCTGGAAAAAAGGGGGGGTTTTCCTGCCTGCCAGTGGAATGTTCTGAGCTGGTACGATATTTATCTATGTGAGATTCTGCCCCCCATCAGAGTTGTTTTGTTCCTGAATTTCCATTCCATTTAGAAAGGTAAGCATCAATAGATTCTGTAGGCACAACCAAGCCAGTTCATTTATTATTGTTATTTCAAAGTATATCCCACCCTCCCTCCCAAAGGAGCCCAACAAACACATCAGTAATAAAGCAGGCTTTTATTTTAAGTCGTCTCCCCCACCCCTCATTCTCTTTATTAATCTTTCTCAAAAATACAGATTAAAAATAAATCATACAAAACAGATGCAAAGGGTAAATTGTTAACACAACAGGCTTAAGATATCTCAATAACTACATATAAAACGTTTCGCTTTATGGGACTAGCAAAGATCTACATTGGCTCCTAGTACACAATTCAAAGTGTCGGTGCTGACCTTTAGAGCCCTAAACAGCCTTGGTCCTGTATACCTGAAGGAGCGTCTCCATCCCCATCGTTCAGCCCAGACATTGAGATCCAGCGCCGAGGGCCTTCTAGCGGTTCCCTCACTGCGGGAAGTGAAGCTACAAAGAACCAGGCAGAGGGCCTTCTCAGTAATGACGCCCATCCTGTAGAATTCCCTCCCGTCGGATGTCAAGGAAGTAAACAACTTGACCTTCTGTAGACATCTGAAGGCAGCCCTGTATTGGGAAGTTTTTAATGTTTTGACATTTTAGTGTGTTTGATGTTTTATTTTGTTGGGAGCCACCCAGAGTGGCTGGGGCAACCCAGGCAGATGGGTGGCATAGTTGAATGAATGAATGAATGAATGACATTACTGAATGCAACCTTATGTATGCTGTACATCCTCCCCACTACACACACACACATATTGAAGAGAGCAGGTGGATTCAGTCCTGTAGGGTTTCTTCCCCTTCCCTAGCAGACCACAGGTTTGAAATCTCTCATCACCTGGTGAGCAGGGGATTCAGTCCTGCAGGGTGTGGTGGAGTCTCCTTCTTTGGAGGTCTTTAAACAGAGGCTTGACAACCATATGTCAGGAGTGCTCTGATGGTGTTTCCTGCTTAGCAGGGGGTTGGACTCGATGGCCCTTGTGGTCTCTTCCAACTCTATGATTCTATGATTCTATGATTCTAGGGTGCTGCTTGTAAGAGCCTTCCCTGCAGGGACTGTGCTTGTGGAGAAGCATCATGCAGGGCCCTCCAGCCTTCGTATCCCCTGACAACCTGGGTAACTGGGCAGCCTGGTCTATGGTGATCTGGGTCTGTCTCAGCCCAAGTGCAGGTGCCCCCAATTCAAAACTGGCCTGATTCAGATCGAGATCTGGGCTTCCCCTAAATCTGGTGCACAGCACTAGTCCCAAGCTCCTTAAGAAGGAGGGAAAGCTACATATAACAGAAATTATAATCGGATACAGTTTCCTGTGCATTTTTGCCATTAGAACCTTGGTTACTATGCTGAAAAGCGTTGATCTAACTTGGATCCAAGCTTTGAACCAATTCCCATTTTAATTGCTGCCCTGCCAAAGCACAGATCTCTGCTGCATCTAAGCCAAGAGTTTGGGGGGGGGGGAGCTTGAAACAAGAACCCGAGAGATTTCAATCTGTCCGTCTGAAGATAACCTCAAAAGGGAATGGAGGCTATGAGGAACCAGGTCATCCAGGACTGCTATATCTGCCTGTCTAGATAGAGGATCTCGTTTTTCAAACTCCAAGTCCCCATCTTCAATTACTTCTTTAATCAGCCTTTCAAGATAGCGCTTGCCAATGTATTTTGCATGCTGGTTTTAAGCCATTGGGCTCCTTTTCCTGTCACAACCATTTAGGTTTCCTCTGAGAATTTGCTTTTGCTTAATGACGCCTTTATTAATTTATGCTAAAGAAAAGAGTCATTGATGTTTGATTCGTAATTCGATCTATAGTTGGAGGGTTTTTTTTTTATTAATTAAGGCAGAAATAAGATATCTACCAAGAGTGGGAGGAGAGACTAGCATAAAAGGAACACTGTGAGATGGGGCAGCAGCTCTGGGTGGTTGATTTTTTTTTTCCAAAACCCTTTGGAGTTGGGCTTCAGAGGATTGTGTCATGACCCCCATAGCCAGCAGTCACTGAGACCACTTTTCCCTATGATGAACTACTGTGAGTAAGAATAATAACAATGAATAATGAACGACTAAGTCAATGAAATTTATATGCCACTTAATTGCCAAGGTGACTTATAAACAGTTTATGAGCATAAAACCAATTACAAAACACACACACACAAATATGATTAAAATACACCACATAATTCCATTTAAACATTAAAATAAACACCCCGCGATTAAAATGTGTAATAAACCAGGCCCGTTAAAACAGCACAACACCCCCTCCTTTGGTAATCCTCACAGAACTCTAGCCCAATGGTTGCCATTAATTTGATTTTGAATTGATTTTAAAATGAATTGATTTTAGAATGCTGTGTTACTTTTATTGTTGTTAGCCGCTCTGAGCCCGGCTTCAGCTCAGAGAGGAGGGCGGGATATAAATTTTTAAAAAAATTATTATTATTTATTAACAACTAAAATGGTTAAGGACATACGGGGAGCTTTGCTGGATCAGGCCAATGGTCCATCTACTCTGCCATTTTGTTCTCACAGTGACCAACCAGATGCCTATGGGAAGCCCATGAGCGGGGCCTGAACGCAAGTGGCCTCGCCCTTCCTATGGTCCCCATCAACTAATTAAGAGGTCAAGGGCACATTCCAGCAAGGCAAAAACATTTTGGGTGCAAAGCAGGGCCCATAAAGGAGGTGGGCTCAGAGGAGGGTGGGTGTGGTGTGGGAAGACACCCAAGGGCCAGATAGTGCAGGCGGGGGGGGGCACTATTTGACCTCTGGACCTGAGGTTACCCTCCCCAGAGATCTGCATCTCCTCCAGCAGAATCTCCCTTCCCTAACCCCAGGTTTGGGAAACAGTTCACGACGATAACACTGAAACAATTTAAATGGCCTTCACGTTCTTAAAAGCAATGAGGCCTTTCTGAAATTATTTATCCTGGGCCCAATCATGTTTACTCAGGAACAATCCCTGCTATTTTCAGGGGCGCTTAAATCTAAGGGCTTATCGTTTCCAGCATGTGCATTTGATAAATGCGTTTGAAATGAACCGTTGGCATGGTGCGCTTTAATAAATAAATAAATGAGGCATTTTTTGAGCCAAGAGAGTCTTGCTTTGACTTTCTGATGCCACATAGCTATTCACTCCGCGAGATTCTCTCTAACCTCCCTCAATGTATCTGTCAGAACTGCCAACAGATCTAAAGCAACTTTTGCATATTAAGTAGAGCCCTCGATAATTCACTAGCGGGTTTGATTCTGCAGCGACACATCCGTATCGATACTTGGAGATGCATTCCTTTCCTTTTCTCACCATGTAAGGATACACTTCTTCTGTTGCCTATTGAATGGAGGTGTCACAATGTAGAGCTGTTGATAAGGCAGGGGTGGACGACCGGTGCCACTCCTGGCGTTCCTGAATTGCTACTCCTCTCATCCCTGACCATTGGTCTTGCTGGCTAGGGCTGATAGGAGTTGGAGCCCAGCAGTAACTGGAGGGCCATAGATTGCCCAGCCTTATTATGAGGGGTTTTTTCCTCCTTCCAGTGAGACCAAATGTTGGAAGATTCAGGAGAGACAGAAGAAAGTACCTCTTAATGCAAAAACTATGGACAATAAGAGGGATGTGGGTGGCGCTGCGGGTTGAGAGGGAGGGTGGCGCTGTGGGTTAAACCACAGAGCCTAGGACTTGCCGATCAGAAGGTCGGCGGTTCGATTGCCCGTGACGGGGTGAGCTCCAGTTGCTCGGTCCCTGCTCCTCCCAACCTAGCAGTTCAAAAGCACGACAGAGTGCAAGTAGATAAATAGGTACCGCTCCAGCGGGAAGGTAAACGGCGTTTCCGTGCGCTGCTCTGGTTCGCCAGAAGTGGCTTAGTCATGCTGGCCACATGACCCAGAAGCTGTACGCCGGCTCCCTCAGCCAATAATGCGAGATGAGCGCCACAACCCCAGAGTCGGCCACGACTGGACCTAATGGTCAGGGGTCCCTTTACCTATAAGATGTGATGGCCATCAGCTGGTATGGCTTTAAAGGGGGTTTAGATGACTCTGTGGACCATAGATAAGACTGCCAATGTCTGCTAGCCATAACAGCCTGCTTCTCCCTCTACAGCTGGAAACAAGTGTGCTTCTGAATACCAGTTGCCGAAAATCCTGAACGGGGTGTCTGTGGGCTTCCCACAGACATCTGGTTGTGAGAACAGGATGCTGGACTAGACGGGCCTTTGGCCTGATCCAACAGGGCTCTTCATAACGCTATTGCCTTCTCACATATTTTATATCCAGATTTAATGTCTCATAGATTTAATGTCATGAGAGGAGGCAAGGGTCCTCCTCTCGTGACCCTAGGACTTGTGTGGGGGTGGGTGTTACCTTGAAACTATTAGTAGTGGGGCTAATGGTCACACAAAAAGTCATAATTCACATGCTATTTACATCCTACGGGATCACCTCTCCTGGTATGTCCCATGAAGGACCTTACGATATTCAAACAAAAACATCTTGGAGGTCCCGGGCCACAGGGAGGTTAGGCTGGCCTCAACCAGAGCCAGGGCTTTTTCGGCCATGGTCCCCATATGGTAGAATGCTCTGTCACAAGAGACTAGGGCCCTACGGGACTTGACATCTTTCTGCAGGGCCTGCAAGACAGAGCTGTTCCACCAGGCCTTTGGCCAAGGCACAGTCTGACCCCCTCCTTTGGTAATCCTCGTAGGACCCTAACCCAATGGTTGCCATTAATTTGATAATGAATTCATTTTAGAATGTATTTCAATTAATAGATTGTGATTTTATGTAAACTGTGTTACTTTTACTGTTGTTAGCCATTCTGAGCCCGGCTTCGGCTAGGGAGGATGGGATATAAATAAATAAAAAATATTATTATTATTATTATTATTATTATTATTATTATTATCCTAGCTTCAGAATTGTGACTGTACTCTAGATTTTCCCAAACTGGCCACTGGTCCTGCTAGCTAGAGACGATGAGAGTTGTAGTCCAAGAACAGCTGGAGACCCAAATTTGGGAAACCTTGCTGTAGATGGATTTGCAGTGCATCACACTCCAGTGAGGAAGAGACTATGGCCAGTTGATCTGTATGCCAGCCCAGTCTGCTGTCCAGTTACTCACTGCTGGTGGGCAAGTTCAAAGTCTCTTCACTCTCTTTTTATGGTTCATAGATGGTATTAATCGAATCCTAGAGTAGGAAGGGACCACGAGGGCCATTTTGTCCAACTCACTGCAATGCAGGTATCTTTTACCCAGCGTGGGGCATGAACCCACAACCCTGAGATCAAACGTCTCATGCTCTACCCACTGAGCTATCCCTTTAAACCTGGCATGGACCAGTAGACCTTCAAATAGAGGAGTGCCCTCTGTAAAGTGTGGGCAACCTTGAGTAAGTGTCGTTCTCATCAGCGAGGTAGCAGGGAGGTACACCCCTTCCCACAGGTCCAAAAACATGAGCCAGTTTAGGGTCCATCAATAACTGCTTTTCTATTAGAATGAGAGGAGGGAGACCCAATTGCACAGCTGATTGGAATGTTGTTTGACTCTGAGCATACATTAGAACAGGGCTGGGAAACCTCTGACTCATGGGCAAATACTGCCCCACAACTTCCATTTTCTACAACCACACACCTGTCATTCAACTGGGTGACATCAGCAGAAGGACAGGATCCAACCTTTGTTGGGTGCTGCTTTGCCAACACATTCCCTGAGTGTGAAGCTGGTGTGAAGCAAGCCCCTGCAGAGATCAGGATTGAACCCTTCACTCAGCAGCTGATGAATGGAGAGTTCAGTGCTGTTTCACTGGTGTGTTTCCCTCCTCCCACCCTCACAGGTCAGTTTTGACAGGTGGGCAGGACTGACTGCCTACCAGTCACTTGATGCCATTGTGATGCCAGGTGATTGGCAGGTGGGGCGGGGAGATAAAGATCTGGCCCACTTAGCCAAAAGGCTTCCCCACCCCTGCTATAAAAGTCAAGGGGGGAAAGGCGGCTTCTCCACCTAACAATATTGAGAGGGCTTTCTGAAATCATAATTTGGCAGCACTACCTGGGGAGAACATTTCTAAGTGAATAAATTGCATCTGAGTGCACGGCACATTTTTATGAGATTCTTTTTATGTTTGAGATAAAAAAGGGGGGAGAAAAAAGAGAAAAATCTAGACCAAAGTAAATTGCTAGCTTGTCATCTTTGCATTATTGCACTGATTGGATCGTGTTGACTTTCTTTTTCTTTCCTTTTTTATGGTAATGAACAAAATAAGTTGAGTAAATAACTGAGGTGGCAGGCCAGAAAGGGGAAGCCTGTGTTTATTATGTTAGCAAAGCTAGCTGCATCTTCTGTTAGATGTAGCCGCGACCTGCTTCCCTCTCTGTTGCGCAACAAGCATTAACGGTGGCCCCTGTGAGTTTTCAGAGACAATGTAAAATAATCAGCCTACATTTTCAGATGCCAGCAGCCTACAGCCGACGTCTGAATATGTTGGTTTCTCCACAAAGTTGTTTCCAAATCAACGTGCGTAAGGCTGGGGTTGTTAGGCCAAGAACACAACCCAGTGGGGACTCTGAGTACGCATGCACAGGCTGCAAACATAAATAAATGGATGTGGGAAGCGGAATTGAGAAAACACTGGTATTACACAGGTGCAGGCGTTGGCAAAGTAGGACCCCAGTTGCAAACTTGAGTGTGGTGGCGCGGAGTGGCCTTCAGCTTGGAAAATCCTGGCCTGGTATTCCTTAAACCTTTTTCTGTCAGGTAGATCTCACAGAGCATGGGAAAGTGTTCATGAATATGTGTGTCCCCAAGGAAGAAGACGAGTAGAAGAAGAGTTTGGATTTGATATCCCGCTTTATCACTACCTGAAGGAGTCTCAAAGCGGCTAACATTCTCCTTTCCCTTCCTCCCCCACAACAAACACTCTGTGAGGTGAGTGGCGCTGGGAGACTTCAGAGAAGTGTGACTAGCCCAAGGTCACCCAGCAGCTGCATGTGGAGGAGCGGAGATGCAAACCCGGTTCACCAGATTACGAGTCCATCACTCTTAACCACTACACAACACTGGCTCTACACCACACTGGAAGATGCAAATACACTTCAAAAGAGGATTAGACAGAGTCATGGAGTCATGTGACTATTGGCGGCTGCTCCACTGCTAGAGGTATTATGACTGATTACCAATTGCTGGAAATCACAAATGGCAGAGTGTTGTTGCACTCGTGTCCAGCTTATAGACTTCTGGTCAGCCACCGTGAGAACAGGATGGTGGACTAGACGGGCCATTGGTCTCATCCAGCAGGGCTCCTTTTAGGTTCCTATTGGTCAGAGTACAAAGCCATTTGGAGAGCCACAGGTCCCCCAACCCTTGCACGATACACACTGAATTTGTGTATTTGGGAATGAGCTCTTCCTGGTGCTAAATTCTGTGCTATTATCAGCTTTCATTCAGGAACCCCTGAACCTTCTGCAAGTCAGTCGTTAACATTGCCAGAAGTTCTGTGCATTTTGAAGCACAGCTACCTCAGAGAACACAAGCAGAGGAATGTGGTTTCCAGGGGAGGGGGTTTAAAGTCACTTTTATGGCATTTTTCATCGCAAATAAAACATTTGTGTCTTTTGTATATACAGTAACAGAACCACGAGGCAATGAGCAGTGTAGAAAGTCGGTTGCAAGTCCAGATATGCTCAATACATATATAGGAATTTCTGCAGGAAGACCCAGGAGGCAGAGGATTATTTGATGAGAAAGAAAGAAATCGAAAGAAAATGCTTTCTTTTATAGGAAGGACTCTCACCCAGTAAAAGCTGTCCCCTCCACCACTTCGTCTCTCGGGCCCAAGCTTGTCATGTAGGGAAATTGTTCTTTATAGCTGGCTGAGACAAGACTAATGTTGCCTGTCAGACCACTTCTCCTTGCACTAGTTATGCAGCATTTATATATTCTGTCCCTGTGTCTTGCAATTACAAAAGCACAGCAACATGAGCCTCTCTCCTGAATCCAGTGGACTTTTCCACGGCTTTTCAAAGCCGTCAGTTTGCCGGCGGCACCAAGATGTCAAGGAACGCCAGAGGTGTGCCCTCGGCAGGAGAATTTTCCACTGAGCAAGGTGTGCAGTGGGAATGATGCATTTGGAAGGGATCCCAAGAGTCATTGCGTCCTCTGTAATACAGGAACCTATACTGGCCATTGGGCAGGAAGATGTCTAGAATAACCTCCTCTTTCATTTGAGCCTTCCTGAAGCAGCAAGGTCTTACTGTGCCCTGGCATGTTCCTATGTCCTTGGTTATCAATTGATCTTGACTCTGCCTCCTAGTTCACCCTATGATCCTCACTTGCTCTTTAGACCTGGTCACTGGTGAGTGCTGTGTTTCCTGGTTCCTGCTTCTTCTTCACCCCAGATTGCTATCCTTGGCCCACCCTTGGCACAGCCAATCAGGGGCCAGGAGGTCAAGACCAGGGGTCAGCAAAACTTTTCAGCATGGGGCCGGTCCACTGTCTCTCAGGCCTTGTGGGGGGGGGTCGGACTATATTTTGGGGGGCTGAACGAATTCCTATGCCCCACAAATAACCCAGAGATGCATTTTAAATAAAAGCACACATTCTACCCATGTAAAACACGCTGATTCCCGAACCACCCGCAGGCTGGATTTAAAAGGTGATTGGGCCAGATCCGGCCCCCGGGCCTTAGTTTGCCTACCCATGGTCAAGACTCATGACACACAACTAACAAAAGGCAAGATACCACACTGCTGCCTGCCTGTCACTGTCATTCAGTTTGCCTGGCAGCATTAAAGAGCCAATTCACAGATTAAAGACCCAAGGCGCTGGTTTCCAAGCTTAAAAAAAAGTTGTGCATCTTTTATTCTCACTTAATTGTGGAGGAAACTCAATTTACTGAAGCAAATATTATTCCACCAGAGAAGCATTCACTTGTCACCAGGCAACCATAAAAACATCTTGGGTTGTAGTTGTATTCAGAGTAAACTCATTAACAGTCACTGCTAACTTAGACCTATGGATTTCTGGGGGGAAGTTAGTTGGATGCAATCCTTTACCAGTTATCGTAGCTACTTTCAACTTTTCAGTGTGTTTTCTTCATTAGGACCTACTTTTATATTTGCTGGAATATAATTTTAAAATATTCTGAACGTTCTTGCCAAAGATTTTGACTTTCCTGCTCAACTTGGAAGCGCAGCACTGAGTCAGTGAATCCACTTTTTGAAGTTTATTACACTGAATTATAGATGCAACTTTCATCCCAGGTAGGCAAAGTTTGAGGAGCTATACTAAATAAAGAATATTTCATTTTGATCAGGAAGCAAAATAGGGCAAGCCGCTTCAGCAGCAAGGCCTCCACCGGAGTTTGAAAACCAAGCGGATCTTTCGCTCACAGTTTCAGCTGATTGTCTTTTCCCCCTTTTCTTTTCTGCTGCTTTGTGCTTCCTCTTGTTTGAATCATTGGCAGTGTCTTTTTGCCCAGGCAAGCCTGAAAAATATGCCACAGAGTAGGGAAATGAAAAATAGGTCATATGTCATGTGTCTGGAAAAAAAACCCAAGTGGCAGTTGAGTTCCCTTGGGATATATAAGAAAATGAGGCTTCCCTGTACATGCCATCAAAAGTGAAGGGGGAAACTACCAATAATCGATATAAATTTATTATTTGTCGTCATTGAATTTACATCCCGCCCTTCATCCCCAAGGAGCCCAGGGATACAAATACATTCACAGCAAACTTTTTTTAAAAAAAGCTTTTAACACATTTTGGAAATAGTTACCGTTGGCTATGGAACTTACCTGGCAAACCTTTGTATCTCATTGAGATTAAGAATGATGCAGAACAGTTAGCCCATTTTATTGCCCTCCAAGGTGATCAGACACAAGCCTGGCCTTAGCATTTGCTTATAGTTGCAATAGTGTGGGCTTGAGTCCTGAAAGGGTTAACTATGTTGAAGTCAGCACTTACTATGGGAATGCATAGTACAGTGGTACCTCGGGTTAAGTACTTAATTCGTTCTGGAGGTCCGTTCTTAACCTGAAACTGTTCTTAGCTTGAGGTACCACTTTAGCTAATGAGGCCTCTTGCTGCCGCCGCCATGCGATTTCTCTTCTCATCCTGAAGCAAAGTTCTTAACCCGAGGTACTATTTCTGGGTTAGCGGAGTCTGTAACCTGAAGCGTATGTAACCCGAGGTACCACTGTATTTGTTTTTAATCTTATATTTTAGAAAGGTACATCCAATTTTTTTTTCTTTAATTTATGGGGGGCCCTCAAGAGAGTGGGCCCCTAAGCTATAGCTTGTTCAGCTTATATGTAAATCCAGCCCTGTGTAACATACATGAACATGAGCAATACGACAGTAAGCTGACTCGGCAGGATACAGGCTATAAATATGGGCGCTGGAGACACTGTCAGGCAGAACTCAGAATAGATAAGGAGATCTCAAGAGGATGCTATGAATCAGTCAGCTCCCAGAAGGATCATTTGCTGTCATGTCTAAGGGTTCTCTGGAAGAAGCAGTCACCTCACGCAGCAGGCTGAGGTCAGCTGGGAGGGGGAGCAGATGCAGCTCTGAGGAGGTGTGTGCCGCTCGCTGGATCCTGCTCTTGTAATAACAATAATAGTTTATTTATTATTTATACCCCGCCCATCTGGCCGGGTTTCCCCAGCCACTCTGGGCAGCTTCCAACAGAATATTAAAATGCAATAACCTATTAAACATTAGAAGCTTCCCTAAACAGTGCTGCCTTCAGATGTCTTCTAAAAGTCTGGTAGTTGTTGTTCTTTTTGACCTCTGGTGGGAGGGCGTTCCACAGGGCGGGTGCCACTACCAAGAAGGCCCTCTGCCTGGTTCCTTGTAACTTGGCTTCTCGCAGCGAGGGAACCACCAGAAGGCCCTCGGCGCTGGACCTCAGTGTCCGGGCAGAACGATGGAGGTGGAGATGCGCCTTCAGGTATACTGAACCGAGGCCATTTAGGGCTTTAAAGTTCAGCACCAACACTTTGAATTGTGCTCGGAAATGTACTGGGAGCCAGTGTAGGTCTTTCAAGACCAGTGTTATATGGTCTCGGCAGCCGCTCCCAGTCACCAGTCTAGCTGCCACATTCTGGATTAGTTGTAGTTTCCGGGTCACCTTCAAAGGTAGCCCCATGTAGAGCACATTGCAGTTGTCCAAGCGGGAGATAACTAGACCATGCACCACTCTGGCAAGACAGTCTGCTGGCAGGGAGGGTCTCAGCCTGTGTACCAGATGGAGCTGATAAACAGCTGCCCTGGACACAGATTTGACCTGCGCCTCCATGGACAGCTGTGAGTCCAGAATGACTCCCAGGCTGCGCACCTGGTCCTTCAGGGGCACAGTTACCCCATTCAAGACCAGCTTTGCCTCTGCCGTCCTGTTCCCTCTCCAGCCTCCTTTTCTCTCCCCCACTTCTTTCAGCGCACCAGGGTTTCCCCGGCCTCCAGTTGCCTCAGGCGGAAGAGCAGGCGGAGGCAGGTTTTGCCTCAAATGGTAAAATGGCCTTGGCCAGCCCTGCTCCAACAGCAAATGGAACATAAGATTGAAGCAGTCTGGAATGGGTTTCATTCGAGTTGGGTGCAAGGATAAGTAGTTTGCTTTGTCTAGTCTAAGTAGAGAGTGTGTGTGTGTGTGTGTGTGTGTGTGTGTTATGCATGTCAATGTCTAATGCTTGCTGTGTAACCAACGAAACCCATAGCCTTCACCCATAAGTGTTCTTATTGCTCTCTAATCCAAGAGGACCGCTGCCTTTGGCAAACAAAACCTTTGGCAGAACACCATTAAGACATTCTGAAAATGGTTTGAAATATGCTCTCATCTGCCAGTCCCAGGGTTGCCCTGTTCTACGGCCATGAAATGCCTGGGTAAACTGGAATGTTTTCAAAAATTTCTCCTGAAAATCAGTTAATGATGGAGACAGACGCACCTCACAGTGAATAAGTCATTGTGCTCTGAAGAATGCTCTGCAAGCTCCTTTCCTCTTAAGTGGAGGGCACTGACAACAATGACCAGTGCTGCACTTTTGTAATTTTACACTCAAACGGGGGTCATCATCCTGGCACCCACATGTGTCAATATGCCTACCAGTACCTCCTAAGTCACCCAGAAAAGGTCTCAGTAAATATCCCCTTGAAAATCCACATTAGATTGTTTGTTGTCCCTGCTGAGTTTCTGTTTGCACTGACTTGGCCTCTCTTACATTGAATGCCCCCCTTTAAGCATGCAGACGTTTCGTTGGATGCCAGGATTGGACACCCATCCTCCCATTGTGAACAGAGGAGAGGTACACAGAGATTCTCCCTGTGAGCAAGTGGAGGTGTCCGATTCAGGTGCCTTTTTTCCATTGATGGAGGGCATGCCAGCACCATTTTGTGATCCTGTCATTTTTAGATATGGCAGCCATTTTGTTTTATACCTCACACTCATGGCAGCAATTTTATGATTGTCATCCACAGATGCTTTCTGAAAATTACAGATGTGCAGACTGGCAACACCCACTCGAGACTTAATGGTCTTTTTGTAGGGAGGGGGAGCACTATCTCAACATGTAATAAGTCAGGCTTTCCCTGACCCATAAGACTGAAACCTGTTATTACTAGATTTCTGTTTTTCTCTCTGCTTTTTTGCTACCGTTTTACCCTGTTAATGTTTGTTGTTCCATACACTGCCAAGATATTTAAATGTTAAGCAGTTTGGAAATGCTTTTAAATAAATAAATTGGAGGGGAAGTCACTTTGATGTCGGGATGTGAACGTTCGGTTGTCTGGCAGTCATTCTGTCTTTCTCTCACACACACAATTAAACCATCAGGAAATGAAAGTGATTCTACACACACACACACACACACCTCTTTTGTCAAACGGCGTCATTATGAGTGGCCTGTCTCGCTCAGTCTTCAGTAAGTGGCGTCACTAATAATTAAGAAGCCGTCGCAATAAAAGCGAGCTCGTTAGGGGAGTTGACAGTGTTATTGGGAACCTGAAGGAAATGTGGCATTTGGCAAAATTGAATTGGACGTTAGATTGGCAGCAAGCAAAGTGTTGACTGAGATCAGCTTTATGGCATATATGAGTCCAGTGGTGGTCTTTTTAGCTGCAATGGCTTCAGTTCCAAGGGCCAGGCTCAGTTCAAAGAGCCTGTTACTACCTATAAGCCCTAAATTAGGGTTGCCATATTTCAAGAGGTGAAGATCCAGACACAAAAGTTGTTGAGCTTTTTTAAGGCAAAATTGGAGCTTTTTTAAAAATAATAATTTTTATTAGTTTTCAATTAGAATCCAATAATAGCCTCTATATAACAATTTATAATACAATTAATAATACCAAGCCTTCAAATACTGAATTATATAATTTAGGTGGCCCTCCACATCCTAGAATTAATGGTTTGATGGTTTTCTTTATTTCTGCATTCCAAAATACGGTAGTATTCATTTCAATTACATTCCAGTCATCATCATAATCTCTTATACAACAACTGCAATATTAATAACTTCACCAAAATCTACACTGCTGACATGGGTTGCAATGCATCCGGATTTTCCCAGACATTTCAGCAATTTTTGTCCAGACACCATTTCCTGGAAAATTCCTACCTAAATGGCAACCCTACCTAAATCACTTGGATTAGGCAGGACTGCCTCCCTTCATTAATCCCAGTCTTAAACCAAGGCTCCATCTGCACCATACATTTAAAGTACAGTGGTGCCTCGCAAGATGAAATTAATTCGTTCTGCGAGTTTTTTCGTCTTGCGAATTTTTCGTCTTGCAAAGCACGGTTTCCCATAGGAATGCATTGAAAATCCAAAAGGAAACAAACTTGCAAGACGTTTTCGTCTTGGGAAGCAAGCCCATAGGGAAATTCGTCTTGCGAAGCAACTCAAAAAACGAAAAACTCTTTCGTCTTGCGAGTTTTTCGTCTTGCGAGGCATTCGTCTTGCGAGGTACCACTGTACTGTTGTCCCACTTCAAATCGTGTGGCTTCACCCAAAAAATCCTGGGAATTGTAATATGTTGAGGCTGCTGAGGCCCCTATTCCCCTTCACAGAGTTCACTGGTTTAACCCCTCTGGGAATTGTAGCTCTGTGAGGGGAATAGAGGTGTCTTTTAGCAACTCTCCTACTTTTGATTGGTGGTGGCTCTCCAGGGCAAGAATCTGTCCCCATCATAGCTGTGCTCCAGAGTGTGTCCTTGGGGTTGGGGCTTTTGGTCCAAAGAGGTAAAAGCCTTTTGCTGAAACATTTCATCTAGAACAGGCATAGGCAAACTCCGGCCCTCCAGATGTTTGGGACTACAATTCCCATCATCCCTGACCACTGGTCCTGTTAGCTAGGGATGATGGGAATTGTAGTCCCAAACATCTGGAGGGCCGGAGTTTGCCTATGCCTGATCTAGAAAGCCAGGTTCAAAGCTCAGCATAGTCCAAGCAAGCCAAGGTCAAGCTTGGGGAGCAAGGAGGGGAACTAGAGGAAGCAGAGACCTGTTTTGTTTTTATCAGCTGGAAGCCTCAAGAGGGAGACCTCATATACTGTGGCTTCCTAGCTGCGGGTAGTAAAGGAGTTCTGGGGATTGCTTGCTCATGAGTTGCCAGACAATTGTAGGTCTGTACTCTTGCTAATGAAAACCCATTGCACAGCACAGTGGCCAATCCGTTGTGCAACAACGTCACCCAAATGCTTCCTATGTATTTTTGTTCATTCATTATTATTTTTTGTATACCGCTTTTCCGCGCGCACACACAATGCTCAAAGCAGAGAACAGGCCTACGTTCCAAAAAAACCGTACAAAAACCATTCCATAATAACGTACCAAAACAATAGCAGATATAATAACCTGCAAAAGAAACTCATGTCAATACTGTGAATATAAGAAGATTACTTAAGCCACATTCAGCATCCAATAGCAAAAAGAACAAGGGAGCTTCGCAGTTTCACCTTGGTCCTAGAAACACCATTCCCATGGTGTATGTAAATTATTATGAACCATGTTAGGATGTAGCTCCCTGCCCATATCTCCCTTTTGTAGAAAAGCCACTCTGTGTATTGTGATTTCTGGGGCTGAGGATGATGAATAGTGGCATACAACAGCTCTCCAATACAAGCTTCAAGAGCTATTGCCTTATTTGGTTTTTATTGATGAAATACAATATTGGGGGCAGATGTCCGCTCATAATTCTTGTGGAACGGCGTTCCTTTGGCACAAAACATTTTGCAAGTGGAGCAGGTATGCCGCTAAGAGACTTGAACTTAGTTCTATATTGGATAGGACCCTCAATAATAACAAAAACAAGAAGAATGACCTTGCTAAACATCTGATAAAGGTACCGCTGCCTTCCAGCCTCATGGAAGAGCATAGGATTGAAATCGAGGCCAGGGAAATTTGTTACAGCCTTGCAGCCAAAAGCTTTTGTTTCGGGAGCTCAGCCTGTTTATGAGATGCTGCTGTTTTTTCCCCTTAATTCCCCATCTCGAGATGGCAAAGCTATTTCTATTAAACCGAAATCAGTTTGCATTAGTAACAATTAACTGTAAAAAAAAAAAGAGTGTATTCATGCTTAAATTACATGCCGTTTTTATTGGCACTTGTAAACAAAGCCGTAAGGATATTGCCTAAATTGACATAATGCATATTATCTTGTGCAACACTTCGCTCTGAATTAACGTATTCTTTTCAACCTTCCTTTGGTCAACAAATGAAATTAAGGGAATAATCTTACGTGTAAAAAATTTAAAAGGCCTTAAAGTAAAGCCCTAAATCAGGGGTTGCCAGTTCAGCGCCTGCGGAAGCCAGCATAAATGCCAGTGGCACCTATGGTGCTCTCGAAAGGTTTCAGTAAATATCCCCTCAGAAATCTGCAATACATCAGAGACTGTTTCCTCTTCCTGCCCAGTTTCTGGTTTCACTGCATATTGCCTCCTTAAGTATGACCATATTTCATGCCAGGATTGGATGCCCACAAAGGAGACTTTGTGGGACTGAATACAGCGGCCTTTTCCTCCATTGATGTGGGGCAGGCCTGTACTATTTTGTGGTCCCATCCCTTTTCCTGCTTTTTTAGGTGTAGCAGCCATTCTGCCATGTCCCCACAGCAGCTCTTTTTCGTTAGGCCACGCCCCCAGGGAAGCCATTTTGTGACTGGCACCCACGTCACTTTCTCAGCATTGCAAATGTGCCCACCGACCCAGTAAGGCATAAGTCAGCTGCCCTAAATGGGATTTTTTTGGGGGGGGTATCATAAGATAACATCTCATTTGTGAATCTGCCCGATTATTAAGATTATCTGTGGAGGCCCATCCCTTCAGAAACTTTACATGGAAAAGGAGGCTTTATAGTGGTTGCTTTGATACTGATTTTTTTGTAAGATCTAAACTCAAAACTTTGGAACTCCCTGACTCTTGATAACACGCACACACCTTCACTGCACTCCTTTTGGCGCCTGCTAAAAGCATTTTTGTTTAGACACGCCTACCTAGATATTTAGAAAGTTGATGTGAGGTTAGATCTGTTTTTAGTCTAGTGTTGTTTTAACCTTTTGAGAAAGTCTTCAATTGTTATTCATTCTTCTTATCAGTGATTTTATTGTTTCATCTTTGAGTAAACTGCTTTGATTTTTTCTCTTTACAATAAAGCAGTGTATATATTTTTTTAATGAGATAAATAAGTAAATAAATAAATAAATACAACTTCTTATATTTTACTTAATATTTTTTCTTGTGCTTCCCTCTATAATTGATGTTTCGAATTCTGTTGGTTCATTGTTGTTGTTGTTTACTGGGTTTTTTCTTCCCCCTTTTAAACAGGTGTCAAAGCAGTGTTTTCCGGGCACTACCACCGAAATGCTGGCGGCTCCTACAAAAATATTGAAATGGTTATTTCGTCTGCCATAGGGTGCCAGCTAGGAGAAGACACCCATGGGCTAAGGGTGGTGGCTGTCACCCCCGCGAAGATTGTTCACAAATACTACAGTTTGAATGAACTGAGCAATCGAGAGGTCGAGAAAGACATCGCGGCTTTGCTTAACCAAAACTAGCCATTTCTTTCCTCTGCCACAATAATTGGGGGGTGGCCCTCTCCAGCCCAGGGCGAGGTATCAGAACTGTGCATTGTGTGATTTCCTTTGTTTTTTTAAAAAAAGTTGGCCATAGCAAAGATTTCTCATCATAATCAGAAAGCACCTGAACGTCGCAAAGTCAAACAGGCAGTCAGAGGGATTATATTCACTTGTCAAGGGTGCGTATAAATTTAACTTGTGCTATAAAAGTAGTGACAGCGCTATTGATTTTGTAATTAAGGAGATATTCTGAGAATGCACTGTTCTTAGAATAAACCACTTTTATAGCAGCGCTTAAATGCACTCGCGAACAAACACATGGCACAACCGTCTACATGACAGCCCAATAAACAACAGGAGGCTGCAGGGAACCCAAATGCCACGTTAATGGAAGAATGAAAGGGGTTTGCCCTCAGTTCAAAGCAAATACTAGGTACACGTATGCAATTACAGGGCAGCTGTAAGAAGCTGGGAAATATTCTATACCTGTTTCTAATAAGGAAAGACACCTCTGACATGTGCAATTTGCCACAGGTCTATCATGCCTCACAGAGGCTCCATCTCTCCTATACGTTTATAGCAGCATCGGGCCACTTAGCAGTCATGGCTTGCCCCAAAGAATCCTGGGAGCTGTAGTTTGTTCAGGGTGCTGGGAGTTGTCAGGAGACACCCCCCCAATTCCTCTAACAGAGCTACGGTTCCCAGAGTTCCCTGGGAAGAGGGATTGGTTGTTAAACCACTCTGAGAATTGTATCTCCCTGCTAGGGAGGGGGTGTCTCCTCTAAGCACCCTTAACAAACTACAGTTCCCAGGAATCTTTGGGGGGAGCCATGACTGTTTAAAGTGGAACGGAGAGCAAGGTTGTCTCCAGGTGTGGAGGGGTTCCTGGCCTAGTGCCCTTGGGTGGCTTTCTTTGACATCAGTGGGCTCCCCCTGGAAGTTATAGCAGCAGTGACTTCCCACGCTTCACCAGTGTACCATCACAGCAGTGGATTGTGGGCAATATAAAATGGTGGCTTGCCCAGGTGAGTTGCACCTGGGTGCCCTGTTCTGACCCCCAGGACCTTACGAGAGAGGGCATTTCCTGGATCTGGGGAATCACGTCTCAAGAGACAACGCTCCACAGCCTTCCATTTTAAATGCTCACTTTATGGCATTTTTGCGTTGATCGCTTGAGTAGGCCCTGCACGTGTGTGCAGTGCTCAACTGTAGGCACGATTTGACACTGATTCACCACCCATGAATCAGTCCTCTGAAAGGAAATCATTTAGAGCTTGCCATTTCCACCTCACTACAAACAAACCTAAATCAGCCGTGAGCTAATTTAACTGTTTGCAGCTTCAGCCAAGAAATTCCGGGAATTTTCGTTTGGTGAGAGTACTTAGAATTCCATTAGAGAGCCCTAAGTCATTTTCAGAAATACAATTCATGGCGCTCTGCCCTTTAAACCAATGGAACAATCAGTTTAAACCATTTTTTATTTTTATTTTTTGCTGGTTTCTCCTCCTCTTACACATTTTGATTTCTTAAAAGAATGAAATTGAACTCACACTCTGTGCTGGGGGCGGGGGAGTATTTACTCAATGAAGTAATGGGGTTAATTGAGGTCTTTTGAGTCCAGGGTTATTTGTAGATGGCTTAATAATCCTACCAAACTGGTGGGTGTGGGTGGGTGGTTTTTTTCCTCCACTTTTATGGTTTAATAGGTTTCTCGTGTTCCTATGTGGGACCAGTCCACATTTTAAAGGATGGGTATATTCCTTATTAAGGAATATAATGTGTTGTGTCAGCACAAACCATGTGTCTTTTGGGGCTCCCAGGCTTTCAAAATGTGTGTATGTAGGGAATTCACAGACGAACGGTATTACAAATTGGTGTGAAATCACTTTTCAATGAATAACAAATCACCTTCCTTTATAACAGCCTACATTTGGTGTGTGGTTATATAAGTGCGGTTATAAACCTGGATGATATGTTATCAAGTGAAATGGCAACATTAAAAAAGAAGAAGACGTATTTTTGAAATGCATACACAGCTACTTCAAGTGATCATTCCAAACTAATTGTACCGTTTTAAATTGAATCCCTCAGAACACAAATTGAATAAATGGAATCACTAGCTCCGCCCAGATGTTAAAGGCTTCCTAAATTGAAGGGAGAGTGGGATCTGTTCCTACAATCCTGTCACCAAGACCAGGTGTTCTCCATGGCGAAGATCTGTAGAAGGGGTTCTGAAATGCACAGGGAAGCAATTCTCGCTGCAGACCTTATCCACTGTGGAGCAGAGACAGAGGACTTGGGGCCTTCCAGAGCTTGTTGGACTCTTATTCCCATCAGCCCCAGCCAGCTTGGCCAACAGTGAGGGATGATGAGAGTTGGAGTACAATGATGCCTGGAGGGTCCAAGGTTTCCTCCATGCTTGGTGGTCTTCAGCTGGTGGGTTGGGACTCCATATTGGTTTGGGTCCTGATGGAAGGATGGGTTGAAACAGCCGCATGATCAAGATAAAAATAGCGATGGGGAGGAGAGAGAATGGAGGGGATAAATGGTCCCCAAATACATATTTGGATTAAAAGTGTGTCCCAGGTCTGAAAAGTTTGAAGATCACTGATATAGAGGGGATTGGGATGGGGCAGAGGGGGTGGTATAACCCAGCAAATCCCTCCTCTCCCCACAGATATTTCTAACACACAGGAGAGTTTTAGCCACTCAAATGGGGTACTGTTTGAGCTTTCTTTTTTTTTAATGTGAATGATAAGAAATGTTCTTGTTTCTTTAGTTTCTTTCCCCTTTTCAGGGGGATTTAGAATGGTTATGATTGTTTGCCTGTTGGCCTTAAACCTGTTTGACCCCCTGAGTGGAAAACCAATAAAAAGAAATGAGGTGAGAAATCTCCTGACTTTGATCTTTTTTTATACAGGCACTCTTAAAAAGTAATAAAAATCTCCATTTGCAATATATGTGGTCTAGTCAGTATGATAAAAGTGCAAAGGCGTAATGAGCGCTCTTGATTTACGAAGAGGGAACGTGTAAAAATTCTTTTGTAGTAAAAGGCACCACACCCCTGGTGCATGAAAAACTGCCAGGTCTTAGCAAAGGTCTTTTAGGATCCCAAATCACACCTAGAAGCTTCTAGAAATTTCACGAGCAGGACACAATGCTACTGCCACCCACTGCCACACTCAAATAGAATCATAGAATCGGAAGGTACCCTAAGGGTCATCTAGTCCAACCCTCTGCATGAATCGCAACATGTGGTCCCCCATCCAATTGGAAACCATACTGAGCCCTGCTTAGCTTTGCAAATGTGCTACCTGTTTTATCGCTGCACCATGGAGCTACGTTAGCCACTTGTTTTCAGAGGGATACTATCTACATGTTTGGGACGACACGGGTGGAGCTGTGGGTTAAACCACAGAGCCTAGGACTTGCCAATCAGAAGGTCGGTGGTTCGAATCCCCACGACAAGGTGAGCTCATGTTGCTTGGTCCCTGCTCCTGCCCACCTAGCAGTTCGAAAGCACGTCAAAGTGCAAGTAGATAAATAGGTACCGCTCCGGCGGGAAGGTAAACGGTGTTTCCGTGCGCTGCTCTGGTTCTCCAGAAGCAGCTTAGTCATGCTGGCCACATGACCCAGAAGCTGTACGCCGGCTCCCTCGGCCAATAAAGCGAGATGAGCACCGCAACCCCAGAGTCGGCCACGACTGGACCTAATGGTCAGGGGTCCCTTTACCTTTTATCTACAAGTCTGGAGGTTCTATTATTTCAAATTGTCTTTTATTTTAAAACACTATTGTCCGAATGAAGATGACTGCTGGCACTGCTCCTGTGGAGACTGGTTCCTCAGGGTGAACTGGGCACTGCCCCCAACAACCTCCATCTGCTCTCAGCCAATCTCCCCCCCCACCTGCCCTATTTCTTTGTTGTAGCCCATCCAGGGGGTGGCACAGGCTGTCACTTTCCTCCTCCTTCATCTCTCTGTTTCCCTTGCAGAACTCAGCAGGGGGACATAATTGGCATTAGTTGGTCCTGCCTGTCATAGTCTCTGGCGCCACCTACTGTTGGACTCCCTGCCTTGATGCCCTACCAATGCCCCTGATCAACAGCCACGGCTATTGCGCTGTCCATTGGACTGGTTCACCGGCAAGAGTGCTGATAACCTTCGTTGGTGGGCAAATCCACTAGGCTCTTTCCCATTGCTTCTTGAACTTGATGGCATAAATCGGAGCAGAAGGGGGGCTTTGCAGGATCAGGCCAAAGGTTCATCTAATCCAGCATCCTTTTACCGTAGACGCCAACCAGAAGTGTGTGTCTTCCTTTTAAAGGTATCATTGTGAACATGATAGGCAGAGCCCAGCCTTTGCTCTCATACACAAAAGGTCACCTTGGCTTACGCATAAAATTTTTAATATATATATATTTTTTCATGTTCCCAAAGCATTCATCACAGTTGTAACCTTTTAAGGCCCTTTAAGAGCAGTGAAAAAAGTCCCCATTGGGGAGAGTGAGCAAGCACTTTACTCATTTGTCACTCATTGACAGTCCTAATAACTGCTAGGTTGTTTGGAGGGTGGAGGGGGTGAGGGAGGGTGAAGTTCCAACTGATTTTATGAAAAATGAGCAACTTCTCATTCGAAAAAAGGAAGCTTTGAGCTCTCAGGAGCCTCTAAACGAGATGCTCAGGTGTTACGATACAATACGATAATCTTTATTGTCATTGTCCCATACAGAACAACGAAATTGAAAAAATATACATCAGACATTCAAAAACCAACAAGCCTGCTATCCCAGCCTGGTTAACCCCCTAAAAACTCTGATACCCCATAATTAAATACAATATACTCCCACAGAGACTACCTTACACTGCGTTTAAAACCAAAATCACATTTGGATAAAAACTGTTCCTCAGGTGGCTAGTCCTAGTCTTTATAACCCTGTACCTTCTTCCAGAAGGCAGAAGCTGAAAGAGATCATTTCCAGGGTGTGTACTATCCTGCACTATCTCTTCAGCTTTCTTATGACACCTGGAAGCATAGATTTTCTCCAAAATGGGAAGAGTGCACCCATATGAGGAGCCTTGAAGGATTAAGCGGCAGGTCTTGAAGCGCCAACATCCCATTTCTAAGAGTAACCAATCAGAGGCCCGTGGGAAGCCAGAAGTCAGGGCATAGGGGCCATAGCCCTCCCTAGCAACTGGAGCTCTGTGGTACACTGGTCCATTTAGCTGCCTCACTTAGTGCCATGGATAGACACATGAAGAGCACATTGATTCAGAGCAAGATGGGGGCCCTCTTCCAGCTTGAGGGCCACATTCCGTTCTTGACAATCTCCCAGGGGCCACACGTCACTGGTGGGCAGAGCCATCGGTGTAAATTTTATCTCTGTACAGTTGGCTAGTTTTAAGGCACATGCATGCGCCTCTGTCAAGAGAAGCAGCTGAAGGACACCTTCCAGTCGGGCAAAAACACTCCAGTGAAACACTCATTTGGCCCCCAGGTTGAGGTTCTTTGCCCCAGTTTCAGGGGATTCGTTTCCACTGAGTGCAGCAGCTTACATGCAATCAGTCAAAAGAAAGAGAGTTCCTGTCTGCACAATTACAATCTGAAAGACATGGCACGAAAGGAAAAGTCAGCGAGGAGGGAGGAGGGGAAAGCAAACGCAGGCACCAATTCTTGAAGTTAAATGGTAGCTCTTATCATGACCAGCTGGAAAAGACGCCGTTCATGGAGAGGAGGAGTCTGGTGAAGGATGTCTTAAAACGGAGCTGATGGAAGGGGCTCTGCTTCATAACACTTTGTCTTTTCCACCAAAAATCTTCCAGTTATTGCAGAGTGGATAAGTAGGGGGATAGCACCAGTGACCAAGCTGACGTAAAAAGAAAGCTGCTAGTAACAGCCATCAAAATAAATTAATGGAAAGATGAGACTTATTTGGGAATGAAATAAAGAAATAGCCAATATCTGTCCTTGCAATTCTCCTTTAATATAAGAGAATATTCATACGTAAAGTCTTCACACACACACACACAGACACACACACATACACACCTTTTCCCTCTCTCCCTTTGTATATATACACATTTGTTTTCCCTTTCCCCCTTTTTAAATTTAAAATACAGAGGAATTTAAAATTTAAAAACAGAGGAATAAGAGCTGATTCGCAGGCAACAGGAACTGAAAGTTGCACCAGGGCATCAGAAACGGGACAAAGCAATAAGGAAGGACCAAAGACTCAACCAAAGGACAAGGCAGCAGACATGAGGAGGAGCAAACCAAGACTCAGAAGGTCAAAGTCTGGAGGCAGGACTGAAAAGCAAGCAAGAAGTCAGGACTGAAGGTCAACCAAAATACAAAAGTAGCACACCAAGGCTTGTTGCTTAGGCAGGGTTAAATTTAACAGGAAGCGCTGTTATAGTATGTTGTGGACAAGAGAAGTCAATGCCCAGCCTAAAGGACTGAGTTCAGCCTGGGGCCTAAGGATACAGTGGTACCTCGGGTTACATACGCTTCAGGTTACATACACTTCAGGTTACAGACTCCGTTAACCCAGAAATAGTACCTCGGGTTAAGAACTTTGCTTCAGAATGAGAACAGAAATCGCGCACCAGCGGCATGGCGGTAGTGGGAGGCCCCATTAGCTAAAGTGGTACCTCAGGTTAAGAACAGCTTCAGGTTAAGAAAGGACCTCCGAAACAAATTAAGTACTTAACCCGAGGTACCACTGTACTATGTTAATCACAACCCACAATTCTGTGGCTCCCCGCACAAACCAATTGCACCTAAATTTTGGGGACTCTTCACCAGAGCCACAGCAGCTCACAGCATTAAGCTAGACGTGCAAGTCATCAGACCCGGTGTAAGACCACTTCCTATGCTTAGCCATAATTTCTGCTGTTTGCCTAGTACGTTGAGAAAAACAACAACAACTCTCTTTGTATGTTGGGGGAAAGACTATAGGTTTGCACTCAGTGGGAGTGACAGTTTCTTAACCCTAGTCACAGCTGCAGACACCTTTCCAACCCCCAAACTCTGTTTCCATCAGCCCAAGTCAAAACAAAGAAGTTTGGTTGGCTACATTTACTTTGCCGGGCATAATTAGCTAGTGGAATTAATACTGATGCCTCAACTAATCAGAAGTGGCAGAGGCCCTTGTGGTCACACAGCACCTCTTCGCGTTTGTTTATGTAGAACAAAATCGCTCATGCTGAGTAAAGTTAGGAAACAGACCACCCACAGAGATGCTCTAATTATCATCTAAGGAAACGAGCCTTTGATGTTGTGGAGATGATATTTCCACCGTTCCAATAGGGCCCATAATTGTAACTACCTCTTAATGTATGAAAGGCGCTTTCTCTCTCTTTTTAGTACTTTGGGGAAAACAAATAAGGAGGTCCTTAAGAGGGGTCATATGTGCCAGCCATGTCCCTCACTCACAGAATGCTGATATTCCCACCAACCATCCCCCCACCCAGTAACCCAGGCTTGACATTTCTGAAAAAGAGGCATGACCCGACTATGGCTCCATCCTGGAACTGTAGCCAATCAGGAATCCACAGTCATTAGGGGACTCCCTATCCCAGGGGTCAGCAAACTTTTTCAGCAGGGGGCTGATCCACTGTCCCTCAGACCTTGGGGGGGGCTGGACTATATTTTTTGTGGGGGGAATTGAATAAATTCCTATGCCCCACAAATAACCCAAAGATGCATTTTAAATAAAAGCACACATTCTTCTCATTCAAAAACACCAAGCAGGCCCCACAAATAATCCAGAGATAAATTTTAAATATAAGGACACATTCTACTCATGTAAAAACATGCTGATTCCTGGACCATCCACAGGCCGGATTCAGAAGGCGATTGGGCCAGATCCGGCCCCCGGGCCTTAGTTTGCCTACTCATGCCCTATTCCCTTCCCAGAGCTACAACACCCAGAGCAGTTTAATGATCAATCCTTCTTCACGGAGCTGGGAATTGTAGCTCTGGAAAGGAAATTACAACTCTCAGTGCCTTTAACAAATTCTTTGGGGGAAGCCATTATGGTTTAAAGTAATATTGTGGCACTTGCTGTGTATGGTGTGAATGTGGCCTTTGAAACAGGCCTCATTTGCCGATGAACATGATCGATCGACATCGGTGTGCATGACACTTATACAAGTTGCGGGAATAGGGATGGAGAAAAGCAAGATTCGGTTCGTATTTAAAGGTGAACCTTCCTATTTTACACTAAATTCGTGAACCGAAACACAGTGAAATTCACACTTTTCTGAATTTTGCAATTCAGATCTCCAGCCAATTAATGTGCACGGAAATGCACACATTAGGGGAAATAACACAGAGTGCATTAAATTAGTGGAAAGTGCTTCACAAAATGTGTATATTAGGAGAAACCTGCACTCAAATGCTGGTGAATTGTCAGCAGAACTTTTTTCCCTTTAAGCCAATGGATGTAGCAATGTGCTGAACTGAACTGAAAATTGGAAAAACGGGGAAGTGAAGGAACCAAAATTGACAGATTCAGCCATCCCTATACAGGAGGACAGGTCACTTGCAATCCAAGATTTGACATGGGAGGCAACAGAGGGAGAGAAACAGAAGCAGGTGCAACCTGGGGAAGAGTATGCATATAATTCCATTACATGGCTTAATTTCCGTGGCTTGGTGGTAGAGCATCCGCTTTGCACACAGAAGGTCCCAGGTTCAATCCCAGAGGAACCCATTCCTGAAACACTGGAGAGCTGCTGTCTCTCAGTGAGAACAATGCTAGATGGATTGATGGTATACGATGGCCACTTCCTGCATTTCTTTACAGAGGGGTCTGGGGAATACGCCGTGCTGGGCAAATCAAGGGTTGTATCCAATTATGTCCGAGAAGATCTGCTGAAATTAATGAACCTAAGTTAGTCGAGTCCATTAATTTCAGTGGGCCTACTCTGAGTAGGACTATGTAGGAGCATCAATACAATCCTAGCAGGGGGTGCATCGACGGTGACAAGATTTCAACAGCCTATTTTGGCACAAGGCGGTAGCCCAGAGCTAATTGCTCCCTTCCGGCAGCGGCATGCATCCTCCGCTCTGATCAGCCGCCTTCCCTTGTTGGCTGTTTTGCAACAGACCTTGTCCCTTTGGGGTCCCTAATTTTAAAGCTATGCTCAAGCAGCTGCCTTTATCAAACCAAGAGCAGGCGGCGCCGGGTGCCCCTAAACGCAAGCTGATGTAACTCACGGCAGAAACAGCAAAGGCTGTTTCCTGTAGGGACCTTTCAATCAGTATGTTTTCCTTTTGTCTGAGCCACTGAAGGGGAGACGGGCTTTGTTTCGGGCAGGGGGGAAGCGCGAACGCAATCAATAAGCTGCTTTGGATAACACCGGCACTAAGCTGGCTTTGCATTTGCTGCTTGAATGCTGTAATGCAATATCAGGAGTGTCTCCTTTTCAAGAGGGCCAGGGTGGTAATTATGACTGCGAAGCGCTCCTGCCGCATGCAAGGCGGAAAGGAGCTTGAAAGAGACACGCATTCAATTACGCGTTGTTGACAAAGCCTCCAGACTGTGCTGTTTATGGAGCCTTCGGGATCGGTTGGGGGAACTTGCATCAATAAATAGCAATTAAAATAGTGCAGGGCGTGGCCGGGGGGCAAAATGCTGGCTGCGATGGTGGTGAGGGCGGGGAATGCAAAAACGGAGCAGATTGCAATGGAGTATCCAGGGAGGAAGGGACGTGGGTGGCGCTGTGGGTTAAACCACAGAGCCTAGGACTTGCTGATCAGAAGGTTGGCGGTTAGAATCCCCGCGACAGGGTGAGCTCCCGTTGCTCAGTCATAGCTCCTGCCAACCTAGCAGTTGAAAAGCACGTCAAAGTGCAAGTAGATAAATAGGTACCGCTCCGACGGGAAGGTGAACGGCGTTTCCGTGCACTGCTGTGGTTCGCCAGAAGCGGCTTAGTCATGCTGGCCACGTGACCTGGAAGCTGTACACTGGCTCCCTCGGCCAATAAAGCGAGATGAGCGCCGCAACCCCAGAGTCGGCCACGACCGGACCTAATGGTCAGGGTCCCTTTACCTTTACCTTTATCCAGGGAGGAGGCGCAAGTGGAACTCTGAACAAGCACCCTCCACGCTGCAACAAATTGTTGCAGGCCCCACTGCTTGAATAGAACTAAAGCAAGGAACTGAGGCAGGCACCAGCATATGCTGAGCACACTATGACTCCACTCAACACCCACCTTGGCTGCACACCAAGTGTTTCTCTTCAGTTGATCCTTAGCTTAGCACAGACTGCCGTGCCTGAGCCATTCATCTGAGAGGGGAGGGGGGTCTTTTTCTCTAGATCTTCCCTAATAGGAGCTGATAGGTATCAACTGCATCCTGTGGGTACATTTGTTCCTCAGCAGGAAACTTGGTGGCATTTCTTCTGCCTCTTACATAGATCCTGCGCTCATTACTTTAATGTTCTCAATGAAATATCGGTTGCTGCATTCCCACTCAGCGGGAGCTTAAAAGCGCATCCCCCAACTGAGTTTCCTTTCTGCCCCAGCCTTCCTTCAAGCAGAGTGTGGCACAATGGCAATTCAGTGATGCTCCTCCCTGACAAATTGTCCCACGGGGTGCACGACTGGCTCAAGAAAAGTGTGTCAAAGGAACAATGAATGGAAGCGGAACTCCTTAGGATTCATACAATACAGATATTCTTAGGAAAGGAAAAGCAGGGAGAAAAACTGGTGCAATTCTAAGCTACATCAACAGAGGTATAGTGTCCTGATCAAGGGAAGTTATAGTACCACTCTATTCTGCCTTGGTCAAACCACACTTGGAATACTCTTTCCAGTTCTGGGCACCAGAATTTAAGAAGGATATTGACCAGCTGAAACGTGTGCAGGCAAAGGTGACCAAGATGCTAAAGGGCCCAGAAACTGAGCCTTATGAGGAACAGTTGATGGAGTTGGGTATGTTTAGTCTGGAGAAGAGAAGAATGGAGAGGTGATATGAGAGCCATCTTCAAACATCTGGAGGGCTGTCAAGTTCGTTCTCTGCTGCGCCAGAGGGTAGGACCCAAACCAATGAGTTCAAATTTGGCGTTTTGTATGAATGCAATCTGTATATTGCTTCCTCCAAGCTACAGTTTCTCTAATCCATGTATCAGAAAAGTCGTGGCCCTCTAGATGCAGTGGTAGCTGGTGCCCACTGGGACTGGTGGGGTGAAGGCAGGGAGCCCAACCATAGGTGGAGCCAGAGCCAATGAGAAGTAGAGCCAACTCATTCTGTTTTGGTCCCCATCCTCTTTCTCCCACCTGAGTTCTCCAAGGGCAACACCAAGACTAAGGGAGAAACTAACAGCCAGTGCCACCCCATGGACTGGTTTTACATAAGAAAGCGGGCATGTGGGGGCTGACTGAGGTTGGTGGGGCAGCGCCCCATTTGTCCAAATGGACCAGCCTCTTAAGACAAATTCAACAACAGCATTGGAGCCTTCACCCCTTTGGGTGAATGACCCAGTTATTTGGGGGTTCAGTAAGACTCAAATGACCTCACCAGCCTGCCTTCTTACTTACAACCAGCTCAGGAGTGGCGCTGGCTATCAGCTCCCTCCTCCTTAGCCTCAGGGTTGCCCTTGCAGGGAGGATGAGAAGGGAGGGGGTACTAGCATTCATTGGTTCTGCCTGACATTGGCTCTAGCACCACCTACTGCTGGGCTCCCTGCCTTCCACTCTTAATGAGCTCCAACCACCCCAGTGGCTCATTTGATTTGATGAGCTTTATTTTTTCTTCAGTGCAATGCACATTTTCCTGGCTTTGCAATGACTCTGCACAGACAGGATTCCTCACAGAAGTCCTGAACAACGCCAGCTGCCTACCAACCATCTTACGTCATGGTTTCCCCCCTTAGCGAATCCTTCCTTTTCTTGTTTTCTGTATGCTGTTTCCACGCCACGTTAAGAATAAGGTCCCCCGACAGGTGTGCTTCACAATGATTACCGCACTCCTTGCGTGTGTTCTGGCTTCCTAGCATCAGCAGAGGCATAATCACTTCCTATTGCCTGTCTCCTCTTGCTGCTTGGTGGGGACAAACGCAAGTACACGCTGGGTGCGATGTTGCTCAGAAACATTTTGTCGTTGAACATGACAGAATGTGAGGGCTGGAGGAGGTTTTTTGGATGGAAAAGTCTGAACCTTTTTTAAAAGCCAGCTTGCTTGTTTTGTGTCACTGAATTTAAGCTGCTTTTTCACTTCAGCGTCAACAAGAGGGAAATAGTAGAGTCATTCATTTAGAATAGAGATATCATGCAGCCAAATGCAGTCTTTCTATCAGGCCCACAGAACTCTCACCAGGACACACACCCCTCCCAGGCCACACCTTCCCTCTCCAGGCCACACCCCTCCCAGGCCACACCTTCCCTCTCCAGGCCACACCCCTCCCAGGCCACACCTTCCCTCTCCAGGCCACACCCCTCCCAGGCCACACCTTCCCTCTCCAGGCCACAACCCTCCCAGGCCACACCTTCCCTCTCCAGGCCACACCCCTCCCAGGCCACACCTTCCCTCTCCAGGCCACACCCCTCCCAGGCCACACCTTTCCACTCTAAGCCACACCCCTCCCAAGCCAGACCTTCCCTCTCCAGGCCACACCCTTCCCAGGCCACACCTTCCCTCTCCAGGCCACACCCCTCCCAGGCCACATCTTCCCTTTCCAGGCCACACCCTTCTCTTGCCCTGCTTTGCCCCACCCCTTTGGGTGTTTTTGCCTGGTAGGGATGTGTCTGTGTACTCTGATAATGCCTCTGGCTTGCCTGGATGGAGTGGAGTATGTGAGAAACTAGCCCCCTACTGTAAGGTAAAGGTAAAGGGACCCCTAACCATGAGGTCCAGTCGTGACCGACTCTGGGGTTGCGGCGCTCATCTCGCTTTATTGGCCGAGGGAGCCGGCGTACCGCTTCCGGGTTATGTGGTCAGCATGACTAAGCCACTTCTGGCACACCAGAGCAGCGCACGGAAACGCCGTTTACCTTCCTGCCAGAGCGGTACCTATTTATCTACTTGCACTTGGACGTGCTTTCGAACTGCTAGAGCTGGGACTGAACAACGGGAGCTCACCCCGTCGCAGGGATTCGAACCGCTGACCTTCTGATCGGCAAGTCCTAGGTTCTGTGGTTTAACCCACAGCTCCACCCACGTCCCTAGCCCCCTACTGTACAATGGTAGATTTTGCGGCTGCTGCTCTACCCACTTTTGTTTCTGGCCCTGCCTGCCACTGGGTTGCAGCCCCTGGACAGTTGCTCAGAAAGGAGTGGGGCTCTCAGTCTGAAAAAGGTCTCTCAGCCCGGGTGAGGGCTTCTGAAACAACCAGTAATTTCTCTCTCTTAAGTGTCTGCCTCATTGTGAAATCTCCTTTCATTACATGCGGCTGAATTTCTCTTTGACACAAGATGAGCCAGGCATCAAAATTTAATTCCCCAATGAGAGCGCAATGAATCTAAACCTCCTTCCATCTCATCTGATATATTGCCTTTGTGGAAGATCTAATGGACTCCCTCTTTTGTTACAACGATAGCAAAGCCATGATCAAAAGTTCTGTTCTGAGAAGAACAAGGAAGGGTTTCTGCAATTCTCCCTTGCAGAGTGTGACAATTCTAGGAAGCCGATTCCCAGGTTCTTTTTCTAGATATAAGCTATCAATGCATTTGTCACAATGACAGGTTTTACAGATGTGGAGAAGCCATCTTT